CACACCACACCACACCCACACCCACACCGCACCCGCACCCGCACCCACACCCACACCCACACCCACACCCACACCCACACCCACACCCACACCCACACCCACACCCACACCCACACCCACACCCACACCCACACCCACACCCACACCCACACCCACACCCACACCCACACCCCACACCACCCACACACCCACACCCACACACCCCACACCCACCACCCAACCACACCCACACCCACACCCACACCCACACCCACACCCACACCCACACCCACACCCACACCCACACCCACACCCACACCCACACCCACACCCACACCCACCCACCCCACCCACACACACCACAACCCACACACCCACACCCACACACACACCCACACCACACCCACACCCACACCCACACCCACACCCACACCCACACCCACACCCACACCCACACCCACACCCACACCCACACCCACACCCACACCCACACCCACACCCACACCCACACCCACACCCACACCCACACCCACACCCACACCCACACCCACACACACACACACACACACACACACACACAGACAGACCCAGACCCCATGACAAGCAGCAGCACACGCACTTACCAGGCTGGAAGATATAGGCCATGCCGTAGTGGATGACCTTGCAGCGTCACCCTTCCACACATGCCCCACCCACCCGCCATCCCCCAAAGAACGCACCGGGCTGGAAGATATAGGCCATGCCGTAGTCAATGACCTTGCAGCGCGTGTCGCTGCGCTTGCTGGTGAGCAGGATGTTTTCGGGCTTGAGGTCGCGGTGCAGCACGGCCAGCCCGTGGCAGTGCTGCAGCACCTCGATCACCGTGCGCGTCACCTTCGCCGCCTGCCGCTCGCTGTAGTACCCGCGCTCCTGAATGCGGTCAAACAGCTCTCCTCCCTCGCACAGTTCCATGATCAGATGCACCTCCTGGGGGGAGACCGAAAAGGGAGGAGTGACGGGGGAACGTGAGGGGAGGTGCAGGGGAGGAAGGCACTGAAACGCTGCTCGCTGTAGTACCCGCGCTCCTGGATGCGGTCAAACAGCTCTGCGCCTTCACACAGCGCCATGATCAGATGCACTTCCTGGGGGGAAGACGGGGGGGGCAAAGGGGGGGAAATGATTGGGGGGGAGTGAGGGATGGGGGTGCAGGGGAGGCAGATGTGTAAACGGCGCTCGCTGTAGTACCTGCGCTCCTGAATGCGGTCAAACAGCTCTCCTCCCTCACACAGCTCCATTATCAGCTCCATAATCAGATGAGCTACCTGGGGAGAATCAGGAGGGGAGGGTTATGAGAGGGGCCAATCAGTGATGGGGGAAGTGATGGAGAAGTGATGGGGAAGTGATGTTGAAGTGATGGGGAAGTGATGGGGGTGCAGGGGAGGCACACTTGAAAGCTCGGCTCGCTGTAGTACCTGCGCATAGGGGTGGCCTCTCAAAAGCTGGAGATTTGTCTCCTGCCCCGCAAAGTCTGTTTGAAAATGGGGAAGGGCGTGGTCACGCCTTATGGTCCTCGACCGTGTCAATGAGCGTGAGCATGTTGGGGTAGGGTGCGCTTGAGAATTCTCAAAAACACCCTGCAACACCCTGCAACACCCTGCAACACCCTGCAACACCCTCGACTGTGTCAATGAGCGGAGGATGTTGGGGTGGCCTCGCAGCAACTTCAAAGTCGTCTCTTCTTAACCCGCAAATTCTAGATTCAAAGGGGAAGGGCCAGCACCCACCTTTTGGTTCTCCACAGTGTCGAGGAGAGTGATGACGTTGGGGGGTTTTTGAGGCGCCTCAAGAAAGGACGGGCGTGATCACACCTTTTGGTCCTCGACGGTGTCGAGGAGAGTGATGACGTTGGGGTGGCCCTTGAGCACCTCCATCACCGCCACCTCCCGCCGCACGTCCTCCACGTCCTCCCAACACTGCATTCAACGGGGGGGGGATGGACGTGGGCGGGATGGGGACGAGGAGGGGAGGGATATGGGAATAGAAAGGGGGATTCATAACATGGTTGCTCCGCGCCTCCATCACCGCCACCTCTCTCCGCACGTCCTCCACGTCCTCCCAACACTGCCATGCATCGCATGCCCACACACACACACATGGACATCACATGCATTGTCACATGCATTGTCACAAGCATTGTCACATGCAATGTCACAAGCATTGTCACATGCATTGTCACATGCAATGTCACAAGGTCACAGGCACATATGCAGGCGCAGTCATGCATGTAGGGATGCTTGCCCACACCCCATACCGCCCCACCCCACATTCCCAACCCCACACACATACCCAAGCATTCAATCATCGCAATGAGTTTTAAGACGCCTCAATGAGTTTCAATCGGGAAAGGCGCAATGGGACAAAAGAACAACAAGGAACGCGACAGCATGAAAGCAGGAATGGTTCGATTGAGGTGCAAGTTAGGCAGCTCTACGTTCTTCTTCCCCGTTCTCCCCTTCTCCCCTTCTCCCCTTTCCCCCTCCCCCCTGCCCACCTCCTGGCTCACCTGCAGGTTTTTCTTCTCAATGGTCTTGCACGCGAACCGCTCCCCAGTCTCGCGCTTCTCGCACACGCGGATCACCCCAAAGTTGCCGCGCCCCAGCTCTTTCCGCGACAGCCGGTACACCTCAGACAGCACCACATATGGCTTCTGCAGCACATTCGACGTCACCGGGGTCACTGCCGCCGCTGCTGCTGCCGCCCCTTCTGCCGCTGCCACTCCTCCCGCCGCTGCCGCTCCTCCCGCTGCATCTACCGCCCCCCCTCCTGCTCCTGCCTCCCCTGCATGCCCCAGCACCTGCCCCTCCCCTTCCTGCCCCACACCCTCCCCTCCAGCACCAGCACCTCTCGGGCTCCCCCCAGACTTGTACGAATAGTAGTAATCACTGACGTTGGGCGTGCGGGGGGGGGCAACAGGCGGGGGCGACAGCGACCCAGAAAGGCGGGGAGACGTCGTGGGAGTAGTGTTAGGAGTGGCGCGTTTGAAATTCTGCAACTCCCACAGCCGCTCAGGGTCCAGCAGAGGGCCTGGGCTAGACGTTTGGCTGCAGGGACTCACTCCCTCCTGGGGGCTCGCCAGGTTGTACGGGCTGTTGTACCCACTCGTAGGGCTTGTTGTCTGGGAGAAGCACGTTCCGCTTCCCAGGTTCTTTCTCGACCCAAACTGTGCCTCGGGACTCGCTCCGAAACTCCCCCCTCCGCCGCCGCCGCCTCCTCCTCCCCCCCCTGCGCCGCTTCCCCCTGCGCCTCCTCCCCTGCCTGCTCCGCCCTTCTCCCCGCCCCGCTCCGCGCCCCCTCCCCCGCCCCCCGCGCCTCCCAGGCCGTGGGAGTCGCTGCCGCTGCCCCCGGCGCCGCCTGTGCTGGTGCTGCGCGGCAGGTTGATGTGCATGCCACCGCGCGCCTTGAGCTTCAGCGCAACACTCCCCAGCACTGCACTGCTGCTCGCATTGCCTGGAGCAGGACCATGCCCCTGGCTGCTGCTTGCGTTCGCACCTGCACCTGCGCTTGCGCTTGTGTTTGTGTTTACCCCAATGCCTGCGCCCATACCTGCGCCTGAACTTGCACCTGCGCCCTGCCCGCCTGCCCCCTGCGCGCCACTGTGGTGCACCCCAGGGGGGGAGGCGGAGCGGGAGGCGGAGGCTGGCTTCGAAGGGCTACCATGCGGCTTCCCCTCCTTGCTTGGGCGGGCAGAGACGGCAAAAGGTTTAGTCGAGGGCGCAGACGACTCAGGAGACAAGGCGGACGGGGAAGTGGACGCGGGAGAAGAGCTCCCCGCTCCCCCTCCTCCTCCACCACCACCACCACCACTCGCCCCGCCTGCCCTCTCCGCCTCTCCTCCCCATGCTCCTCCCGCTCCCACACCCCCTCCCTCTCCCCCTGCACTTCCCCCTCCCCCTCCCGCTCCCCCTCCGCCTCCCCCGCCTGCGACCTTCAACCCGCTGCCGCCAATACTAGCCTTGGAGGCCACAGAGAGAGGGCTGCTGCCCCTACCCGCAGGCACTGCCACGCCCCTGCCCCTGGGGCTGTTCACCCCTAGCTCACTCACCGATACAGATGTAAACATCCCCTTGCTGCCACCACTGCCGCCGCCCACACCGCTCCCACCGCTACCGCCGCTGCCAATGCCAGCACCACTACCAGCGCCAGAGCCGCTGCTGCTATTGCCTACGGCTCGGTTGCCATGTGCCATGCCCCCTGCTCCTGCGCTCCCCCACATGCCTGCTCCCGGGACAAAGTACCCTGGCCCAGCACTCTCGCTCCTGCGATGCCGCGACCGCGCTGCTGCTGCTCCCATCACCTCCTCCCCACTGCTGCGCTGCCTGTTACCGCTGCCGCCGCTGCTGCTGCTGCCGCCGCTGCTGCTGCTGCCGCCGCTGCTGCTGCTGCTGCCCATGCCCATGCCCATGCCGCTGCTCGCTGTCCCACTGCTGCCCTCCCTGCTGCTGGTGGTTCCGGCCTCCCCTGCACCTCCCCCAAGCCCCTTTCTCAACCCCGACCCCACGTCCGCCCCAACTGCCGTCACTGCAGCTCCCGCACTTGCCAGGAAGCTTCCACTCGTGCTACGGGCTGTAGCACCACGGGAAGGCCCAATAGACGCGCGCGGGGGGCTGCGGGGGGGAGGCCTGCTGGACAAGGGGGAGCCGGAGAGCGCCCCAGAACCTCCACCTGCGCCCATCCCTGTGTTCCCCAGAACCATGCCCGCATGCCCTACTGAAGCTGACGCAGTGATGCGGGGGGGGGAGGAGGAGGGTGGGGAGATGGAGTGCGAGTAGGAGCGCTGGTGACCTGGCTTTCGCCTGACTGCTTTCACCTGCTGCTCTAGAGCGTCCTCTGGGCTCGATCCACCCGTGTGATGCTGCCCCTGTAACGCCCCTGATGGACCTGACGCTCCTGACGCCCCGAACGCCCCGGCCGTTCCTGCCCCTGCCCCTGCCCCTGCTTCGCTCTGCCCAGGCCGCATGCCTCTCCTCCCACCTGCGCCCATCGCCTCCCCCCCTTGTCCCCCGTGCCCCCCGCTCCTCAATCTAGACTCCCCCACCGAGTCAGGGTCATGGGGCCCCGTCCGCGCGCGCACTGCTCCCTCATGCGCCCCTCCGCCCATACCTCCCCCTGCGCTCCCCCCTGCGATTCCCCCTGCGCTCCCCCCTGTGCTTCCCCCTGTAATCCCCCCCGCGCCCCTCTGCAGCCCCGCGTCCAGTGACCGCCTGCCAGCGCTCTTCCCCCCCTCGCCGTACACCCCCCCGCCACTGGATGTCTTCCCCCTACCCTCGTCCTCCGCGTGCGCCCTCCCCGCCGCGCCGTCCCCCTTCTCCTGCGCGCCCTCGCGCGCTTCAGAATCCACTGCGCCCTGAAGCTTCTGCCACTGATGCTGCTGCTGCTGTTGCTGCTGCCGCAACCGCTGCTGCTGCTGCTCCAAAACGTCTACTGCCGCACCCAGTATCCCCTTCCCCCCTCCCCCACCGCGCCCTCTCCCCAGCGCGGACCCCTTTATCCCCGCGGAACCCCCCACAGCTGCGCCTCTCCCTCCCCCATGACCATCCGGGGAGCCCCCTAGGGCTTCCCTGCTAGCCGCCGCCCCCGCGCCTACGGTTGAAGCGGAGAGGCGCTCCTGCGAGCGCTCGTGGTCGGACGAGGGGACGGAAGAAACGGAGTGCGAGGGCGGGAACAGCATAGACCGCGCGCGCCGCCGCTCCTTCTGACTACCTATTCCCCGCGCCAACACGGGCATGCCCGCTGCTGCTCTTTCAGGCCCTCTCTCGGGCGCTCTATCCGCTGCTCTCTCCACTGGCCGTTCGGGCGCCGGTTTCCTTTCCCCCCCGACCCTATCCATGCCCTCGCGCTCACCTACTTGCCCTTGGCCGCCCTTTGCGCCGTTGGCGCTTGCCCCCGCGTCCCCCTTGCGCATCTGCACCCCGTGGTCCGCCAGACCGCTACCGCTGCCTGCGCCGCTGGTATGGCTGCCCGGGCCCGACCGCCCCGCGCCGCTGGCGATCCCAGAACCGCCGTAATTCGCGCTGGGAGCTCGGCCACCCCCGTGCAGTGCGCTGCTCGGAGCGCCTCTGCTGCCTGCTATCCCAGAAGGCGCGTTCGAGGGGCTGCTGCCGCCAGAGCCCAGATCGTTGATAGCCACGTGGTAGAACGCGGAACAGTCCTCCGATCGAATCCGACGGTGGCGATTGCTCTGATTCATCACGCGCAGCATGTCCGGAGCCATGGGCGACGGTCCGTGCTTGCTGCTATCGGGGGAAGGCCCGCCGCTCGCGCTGCTCGCCCCGCTGTACCCGCGCGGCTTGGAGTTGAGCGGAGACCCGCGCAAGGTTTGCGCAGGACCAGCGGACGGGCTGCCTTCCGCCTGCTGCTGTTGGTGCGGCGGCTGCTGCTGGCGCGGATACTGCGCGTGCATAGGGGGACTCGAGACTTGGTTGCTCTGATGCGCGTCCGCGCGATCGGATCGCTGCTGCGGCCTGCTCACGCCACTTTGCTGCGACAGGCGTTGCGCCTGGTGCGACGCCTGGTGCGACGAGAGGTGCGACGAGTGGTGTGCGTGGTGCGGCGCGTGCGACGAGGAGCCGTACTCCCTGTACCCTTCTTCGCCAGCGTCGTCGCCGTCGGGGGGTCGGCCCTTTTGCCTCTCCCTGCTTCTCTCCTGCTCTCGTTCGTGCTCCGCCGCGGAGACTTGCGCTCTTCCGCCTTCCCGTTCTCTCGCGCGCTCCCACTCCCTCTCTCTCTCCCTCTCCCTGTCTCGCTCCCACTCTCGCTCCCTCTCCCTCTCCTTCTCCCGCTCCCATTCCCTGTCCCTCAAGCTCCCTCGCTCCTTGTCTCCCCGCTCAAACTCTCTCACTCCGCCGAGCCTGCTACGCTCTTCCCTTTCCCTCTCCCTCTCTCTTTCCCTCTCTCGTTCCCTATCCCATTCTCTCTCCCTTTCCCTCTCCACCCGCTCCCTATCCCTATCCCGCTCCCTTTCCCTGTCCACCCTCTCCCTACTCCGGAAACTTCCACTCACGCCCCTCATCTCCATGCCGTCTCTGTCCTTAAAACTGCCTCCGACGAGCCCTTGTTCGACCCTTCCCACACCACCCCTGCTCCCTCGGTCGTCTTCGTCTCGCATAACCCCGCTTCCTCGGTCCTGATGAGCGATTTCCTTGTGCGAGCTCCTCCCGCGCTCCCCTCCGTAACTCTCCTTTGCATACTCCCTCGGTGCCTCCTTGTGTGCCTCTCTTTCCCAGAGGCTTCCGCTGAATCCATCGCCCCGTTGCCTGTCCCTCTCGCGAAAGCTCCCATTCCGTTGCGCCTCCACGCGATCCCTCGGCGCCGCGCCTCGATCCTTCTCCGCTTCGCGAGGCCGAGCCGCATGCGACGTGCGCTCGCGCTCCTTGAAGCTCCCGCGCATCCGCTCACCGGACCGCCATTCCTGCTCCACCTCCCTCTCATGCTCGCGCAGTCTCTCCCGCACCCAGTCGTCGTCCCCGCCTATGGCGGGTTCCTTAGTCGCGGCGCGAGAGTAGGACTTGCATCGGCGTGCCAGCGGGGGAGAGGATGCTGGCGAGTGGCCATCATTGCACCGCTCGTCCTCTTCTATCACCGGCTGCTCCGACAGAGCGTACGCGGAATGCTGGCGGTAGCGCGACGCGGATAACGCGCGCTGCACGTTCCCATCGGTGGGGTGGGGTTGCACGGCTTGATCGAAGAGGAAGCTTGTGTCCGACTGCACTCTCCTGTGATTCGTAGGACGCGACGGACGGGGTGGAACCGGCGCGCCGTGGTCCGCGCCCCCGTACATTTCGTGCGCATGGCCCCGGCTCCCCATGCCCACAATTACAATGTATCGCAAGCGCAACGAGCTTCAGGTGTTCGGGTGAAACAGCAGCTTCGGAACTTCTCTGCTGGCATTGTCAGCGGCGAAATAGCTTCGACGAATTTTTTTAGAGAATCGGCCTTACGAAGGAGCGCGCAAGCACAACAGTGACGAGCTGAAACAGGACGGCTGATAAGACGCCTTGGAGGTGAATGCGATGGCCGACGGCGTTATGCGAAATGCGTAGGACAGGGTTAGGTTTGGTCCTTTCAAGTTGTACAGGAGGCGAGAGTGAGAGCGAGTGAGCTGAGCTGGGTGGGAGGGAGAGCGTGGCAAGCAACAATCAGGTGAGATGGGAAGTGGGGGGAGCAGGGGAGGGAGAGAATAGAGGACGGTTGACAAGCCCGAGGACTCTGGTTGGTTGGTGGTGGCGGCAAGGGGAACAGAGTTGACATTCTCGAGAGTGGCACGCTGCCTCGGGCAAACGGAAGGGCCATCTTGTTTCTTTTTGTTCGGCATTCTCGAGGTTCCTGAACGCCCTTCGTGCTGCCCGCCACGGTGACTGCGTGGCATTCGATGTGGAAACCAGCACTGCTTCTCCAGAGGTGCGAACGGTTTGGTTCTTAGTTGCATCTTAGGGCGCGTGTCTTTTGGTTTTTACATGCAAATCTCGAATTTTTTGTTGAACTGTAGTCATATGAACCTAGCTCGAGCTAGGCTCGAGTTTTCACCAACTGCAAACCGAGCCGCGGTTCCACCCCTCCCGAAAATCACGCGACAAACAAAAGTTCAACTATCGAAGTTGAACTTTTGCAGCCCAGCCGAGCCGCGACCTACGCTTGTAGGTTACCCGGTTTGGGCTCTTGACATCGCGCCACCGGGACTCGCGCTGACGAGCACCCTCGTGCGCACGATGCTAGCTGCGAGCGTCGCAGACTTCGCATCGTCGCTGTCAGTGATGAGGTGGACACACGCTCGCACATTCGTGCCAACCTGTTTGTTGATGAGGGTTCAACTTGGGGGCTCAACATTTTCCGATGCCGGAAGTGTACGTGGACACACGACGTCCTGGCGAATGTTTTGGCGGAATTAACGAATAGGGTAACCAGCAAAAGTTCAACCAAAAATCCGAACGTCTACACCAAAAGACACGCGCCCTTAGAAAGAATGCTCTCTAAATCTGAAAAACACCGTGAAACTACACCAAGACAAGCAGAGCTGCAAGTGGGTGCCCTGCCCTTGGACCTGAGGCCGTACAGCTCACGTCACGCCGTGCACAGTAAGTTCACTCCAATGGGATTGGGCGACATGTGAGGTCGTATCTAACCGTATGCCTCGTCAGCCAACCTTTAAATGCTTGCCATTACAGTACAACACAGTTGTTTCTGTACTAAACGACTAAAAGAAACACTTTTCGTTCTTGAACCTTGCTAACCACTTACAGATGAACCTCCCTCCACCACCACACAACCCAAAGCGATCGTGAAAATACATTTATGTATTTGTACTCCGCATCTAGTGGGGATCTGCACAGCAGACTCTGCACTATCCGCACAACAGTGTATTGACGGCTTGAAAATATATCATACCAGTAATACTGCATCGTTCACCACCACTACCGGTACAATACAATACAGCTCCCCCCAGATTTGTCTATCTACCTGCTTGATGAAAATGGCCATTCCTGTCTCCTTGCAAGCTTCTGTATACGTGAGCCACCTATTGATAGAAGCAAGATCCTATTCAAGAATTACAATAACGAATCAACAAGCTCAAGACTGTGTGGCAAGGCCATCACTTGCATTGTTAAACAACATCACTTGATCTGCTCTCATCGACAATAAAACCGTCGGAGGAAGTCCAAGGCCTCGTCATTAGTCGTGCAAACATGCCAAAGGGACTCCACCTCCCCTTCATCCACCAATCCCCAGCGTTGCATCTCCTGCATGCAAGCCAGCAACGGCTGGTAGCAACCCTCGTAATCCATCAGCAGGAACGGCACCGGGAGTGCTTGGCACCGCTTCCTCGACAAACCCTGACTCGAGCCCACACCCAGAGACCCTTCTCCTGGTGCCCCTGCCCCTACTCCCAGCTGCCGCAGAGCGAGGAAGTCGAGAATTTCATCGAGTGTTCCCACACCGCCGGGCAGGGCAATGAAGCCTGCCACGTGTGCCTCTGTGGCTCGACTCCCCGCCATGAGAAAGCCCTGCTTGCGCGCTAACACGGACCTGCGTGGTGGAAGCACACGCGTGGAGCAAGAAATGGAAAGGAATGGGAGGCAGTTGTCGGAGCAATTGTCAGCACAGATGGTCACAGATGGTCAGATGAGGCAGTTGTGGTTTATGCATGCTACTGGCGCTGAGTGAATGAGCAGCAATTCTACAGCACATGTGGAGCAAGCACTTTCCAATGCTGGAAAACAGTTCAGATGAGGATGAGCAATGTTGTATGCGGTGAGCAATGGTGAGCAAATGCATGAGTGGATAGGAAGGAATGGTTTGTTCCGAGCGGGCGTACTGGCAGGTGACGTAGGAGTGAGCGGGGAGCCAGGGGTGCACAAAGGCACCCTGGGCTTGGCGCGCCTCTGATACTATCTTAAAGCCCGCCACTGGCCTGTGCATGGCGCGTGGGCAAGTAGGCGAGGAAAGGGGTGTGGGGTTGGTGGTGGTGGTGGTGTTGGTGTGGGGAGGGGTGAGATTTAGATGCACAGGGCAGAAGGAAGGTGTTTGAAGGGTGGAGTGGAGGGTTGGGGGCGATGAGAGAAATGTGAGGCATTGGAAAAACAGGAGCAGCAGGGGAGAGAAGCGAGGGAGCAAACAAGGTTGAGGCAGGTGGAGCGATAGGGATGCATGAACGGGATGTGCGTGCATGCATAAAGCAAGAGTGCATGCATGGAGCAGCAGGGCAGGAAGGCAGGGCACCTGTTGACAGCCTGTGCGCCAAGGGCAACGGCATCCATGAGGCCAGGCCCAATGCCCGACCATGTGGTGCTGCTGTACTGCTCCGCTATCTGCTCCCACACATGCATGCATCGTTGCAGTCAGCGGTTTGTGGGTACATGCACACGTGGGTACATGCACACGTGGGTACATGCACACGTGGGTACATGCACACGTGGGTACATGCACACGTGGTGGCACATGCACGCGGGGTAATGGGTACAAGCGCATGGGGTTTACATGCACACATGGGCACATGCAAAGCTGCGGCACATGCAGACAAGGGTACACCGTGACGTGCAATGCCATGTCACGGCTGCGAGGCATGGCAGGTAGGTGTGCGTTCTGAACCACATGTCCTATGCCACGTGGCACACAATGGCAGCAAACCGACACAAGTGCATGCGAGCAGGTAGAGAGGACGCCGAGAGTGCGTTCAGTAAATCCATCATGTGCCACGTGGCATCGTGTGCCACGTGGCACTCATTGGTCACGCATGCACTGTGCCAGCAGGCAACCTATCCCACAGCATTTTCCAGGGCTCGCAGCAGGGCAGCAAGCAGTGGAGCCGCAACGGACTCACGGCACTCCGCTGCTGCCGCAAGGAGCATGCCGTCATGTGACTGCTGCGGCTCCACTGCTGCCGCGGCAGTCACGTGACGCACTGTCGCGTCCATCCATGCCACACATGACACAGTACTGCATGCAGGGGCATCCAATCCCATACCAATCGCCCCCTAACAATACCCCGTTTTCCCTATCCCCCACTCCCTCCCCTTCGTTCCCTTCCCTCCCCGCCCTCCGCTCCCCCTCCCCGCCTTCCTCCTGGCCGTCCCTCACCCTGCCCGGCATTCCCCCCTCCCCCCAGCGGTCCGCGCACCTCGCGGCTGAGCGCCATTGACTGGCGGAAGAAGGGGTGGTCCTCCGCCACGCGAGACGACCCCAGGTACACGAACCCGCGCCCCATGCGCTCCACCACTTCGTAGCACGCTTTAATCTCCTCGCCCACCCGCGCCGCCTCCCGCCACGCGGCGTCGCTTGTTTCCGCCTCCGCCGCCGCTTCCGCGTCCGCCATTTCCGTTGCGCTCCCTGATTCTGCGCGCGTGCGCGAGGTCGGAGATCTGCTGGTGCGCGCTCGAGCGTTCCTCTTCGCGAGATTTCCCGCAGGTGCGCGGAAAGAAGACGCTCCGCGCAACCCGCGGGAGGCGCGCAGAGTGCGCGGGCCGTCGACCAGCGCAAGCTGCCCGCGATCTGGCGCGCGGAACTGCGCAGCGGTATGCGCGGAGTACCGCCAAGCGAGGTCCATTTGGGCGAGTGACACGGCACGTGGCGGCGTGGCGGAGGGCGCTGCGATCGAGAAGGCAGTGTCAAATACGGCGTTCTTTGTTCTGAGTCGTCCCAAATGAGCTGGCAAGATGAGCAATTCTCAGCCGTTGTATCGCAAGCTTCCCACCCCAACGGATGTGAGGGTGGGCAAGACCAGAGGCAAACCAGCAGCAACTACAGTTTGATGATTCTTGTTCAACCCGTGGTTGTTGAATTTGGCTCGGATCAAAATCATCAGAGTAGAAAACGGAGCGTGGCTGAATTTGGGGCAGTTGATTCAGCACGCCATTCCTTCCTCCTCTCTCCTGTGCTCGCCACAGCGCCGGACCGTCTCGCACCGTACCGTACCGCGATGCTCGCGGTTAGTGCGGGACGCCTCGCGCCGCCGCTCGCCGTGTCGCCAGGCCGCTTGACGTCGTCGTTGTCGTCGCCGCCACGCCGCTGGGCGTCGCACGGAGCGCGATCGGCGCCAGTGACGACAATCACAATGCGCGGCGCCCGGGGTGCGTGCCGTGCCACGGAAAAACGGCCTCCGTCCCTCTCCAGCCCCGAATTCTTCTCCACGAAACGCCTCCTTGCCCTACTCGTCGCTAGTGTCCCGAAATTCGCTTGATTTCAGCGACATCTTTTCGAAATTAGCTCCACTGCTAAAGCATCCTCGCTCTCAATTCGAGCATCCTCCTCCCTCAACCCGCCTTCTGCGCGCGCTGTTTCAGAATACTGTCGTCTCACCTCCTTGACCCGCACATGACCCTCAACTCTGTTGAAGTCGTTATGTCGATATTAAAAGACCCCGTCCCCCACGTTCCCTGCTCCCATTTCTGCTGCCTCTTGCTCTTCCACCCCTTCCGCCCCCGCCTGCTCGCTTGCTCTCCCCTTCCTCTCTCCTTCCGCTCCCCTTCCGCCCCCTTTTCGCTCCCCCAGTGGTGGCGCAGGCGGCGGCGGAGGCTTCCGCCCCTCCGCCGCTCCCCGCGCGCTGGCCGGTGGTGGACGCGCACCTGCACGTGTGGGCCAACGACGAGGAGGTGCGCGCGTGGAGGGGGAGGGAGAGGGGGGGAAGGGGCTAGCTGCTTCCCATGCATGCACGTGTCATCTCTGTGTGTATGTGCTGAGGCTTCCATTCACGTGCGCGTCGTTCTGACGCGTGTTTTGAGTGTGCAGTGCTCTCATACTCTTACTCATACCGTTGCTCGGTTTCCATTGCTGTGCCCCGCTCATCCCTTCATCCATTCCCCACATCCCTTTCGAGCTCACCACCTCAATCCCCCTGCCCGCTCTTTGCTTCACCTCCCCACCCCTCCCCACCCCTCCTCACCCCTCCCCGCCAACCCCTCCCCTCCCTTCCCCTCCCCTCTCCTCCTCTGCGCTCCCTGCCCGTGCCCTCGTGTCCCCAGGCAGGCGCGCACGTTCCCCTTCCATCCCCGCTAATTCCTCCCCCTCCCTTCCCCTACCCTCTCCATCTCCGAGCAGGCGCGCACGTTCCCCTTCCATCCCGGGCAGGAGCCCACCATTCCTGGAGACGTTGCTCTGCTGCTCAAGGTGCGCTCATGCATGGTGGGGGCATGGCGGGAGGCATGGGGGGGGCATGTTCGATGCACGGTAGCAACAATCACATCTCACTCTCAGCTAGGCTAGGGCCGACAAGCAGGCAAGCACGCAGTAAGGCAGGCAGGCAAGCTGTTGCGCTGCATTGCACCATGCAGGCTCACCATCCCCCTCCATTCGCCATGGCATGCACGCACCATCCCCCCCCCCCCATGCGCCATGGCACGCGCACAGAGCATGGAGGAGGCGGGAGTGCAGGGCGCCATGATAACCCAGCCACATGGACTGGTGCACCACCTTCGTTATCCCTCATGTAGCATTCTCTCACCATCGCCCCCCATCCACCATGCGCCATGGCACATGCACAGAGCATGGAGGAGGCGGGAGTGCAGGGCGCCATCATAACCCAGCCCATCAACCACAAGTTCGACCACTCCTACGTCACCCAGTAACGCCCCCACCCCAACTCCCCCTTCGCACATCTCCCCCTTCGCCCCACTCCCCCCTCGCCCCAACGCCCTTTGCCTGACGCCCCTGCCCCCTACTCTCTCCTCCTTTCTCACCCATACCCCCTCCTCTTCCTCCTCTGCCTTCCTCTTCACCCATACGCCCACTTCCATCCCCTCCCTCTTTCTTTGCCCTCCCCTCTCTCCCCTCTCTCGCCCTCACACATCACAATCCGCGTCCTCAGCCCTTACCCTCGTGGCTCTCGTTTCCCTGCCCTCCCTTTCCTTCATCTTCTCTTCTCTATCCCCCCATCCGGCCCCCCTCTCCTCCCCCCTCGCCAAACCCATCCCCCCTCCGCCCTCCCTCCTCCCTCCAGCGCCATGCGTCAGCACCCTTCGCGCTTCATTGGTAGTTGCCTTGCTGACCCCACCCCTGGGGGAGGAGGGGTGCGAGAGTTAGAGAGACTCATTCAAGAGGTGGGGGAAAGAGGGGGGGAAGGGGGAGGAGGGAGGGTGGGGAGGAGGGGATAGGGGAGGGGGAGGAGGTGGGGGAGAGGAGAGGCAAAGGGTGGTGGGAAGGGAGTGGTATGAGTTTGGGAAACATGGATGGCGGATATTGGTTGCGCAGAGTAATTATTACATGTGATGCATGGGTGATGCACGTGTGGTGCATGTGTGGTGCATGTGTGATGCACGTGTGGCTGCCGTTTCTGTTACTAAAAAGCACCCGTGGATGGAGCCGTTGCTTTTGAATCGATTCATGGGTAAAGTCACAAAAGTAACACAATAATCGCTGCACGTGTTATTGATTGGGCTTCTATGCCCGTGTTCCCATCTTCGCCTCTCCTCACGTCCCCATGTCACTGCTGCCGCCTCTCCTCACGTCCCCATGTCACTGCTAACGCCTCTCCTCACATCCCCATGTCACTGCTGGCACCGGCAGGAAGGGTATCAATGTGTGCGCTTCAACCCATACCTCTGGCCCGAAGGAGAGAAGGTGTGTGCTCCATCTGTCTCTCACAACCGGACCTTGGCATGACATGCGGGTATTGGTAGGGGACGGCGGTCATCGGAAAATGCTCACTCACTCTCTGAGGCCCTTGAGGCGCCTCAAAATGCACCTCACTGCTCACTCACTCTCTGAGGCCCTCCCTCTCCCAATCACCCAACATTCCCATTTACCCCCTCCTGCTTTACATCTCTCTTCTCCTTCTTGAAACCCCCGTTCCGTTCCTCTCTGTCCCATACTCCTCTTTGCACGCACATGCATACGCACGCACCCCCCACCCTTTCCCATCCCAGCACACACGCACAAAAAGCATGAAAGCACATGTTCTGTTCTTGCTCTTTCTCCCATGAACCAACCTCCCACCACCTCCTCTTGAATTTGCACCTTACGTCCCACTGCCCACCCCGAGCAGATGACCAACAAAGTGGGGCAGGAGATGTTTTTCCGAGCAGGGGAACTGGGCGCACCTGTTGCATTCATGTGCTTCAAGGTGGGGTGCATGGAGGAGAGGTGTTGGGGGGAGGGGGGAATGGGAGCAGAATATTGCAGAGAGTGGAGGATGGGGGGACATAGATGCTTCTGCATTCCCAGTGCTGTAACCTGTCTTTCCCGCCCTCTATTTCCACGTCTCTCCTCTCTCGATTGAAACTCTGAATGAACCACCTCCTCCTTCCTTCCCCCGATTCCCAACAACCACCCCTAAGGGCTTCCACTTTCACGCAAGCGAGATCAAGCAGCTCTGCACAGTGCACTTCACTCGGTCGATTTCCGAGCCGCTTCAATCCAGAACGCGTCTCGTTTTCTAACTGCATGCAAATTCCCTTCACCATGCCCACCCCATCACCTCCTAATCACCACCCCCATCAGGGCTTCCATCTGCATGCGGAGGAGATAGAGCAGCTGTGCACAGCACACCCCGGCACACGAGTCATTCTGGACCACTTTGGGTTCTGCCGCAACCCCAACCACCCCGCCGCCACGTGAGCCATTTCAGCTGACTCAAAAACCGCCCCACCGCCACGGGAGCCATCTTTACTTCCCATGCTCCACCTCCTCCTTCCTCTCACTTCCGTCTTCCCCCGCTTACTCCCTTCTCACGTCCCCCCTCTCCCCCCCTCCTCCCCCGCCGCTCATCACCGCGCTTATCAGTTCTACTCTGTTTTTTCACCGCTTTATAACTCCTCTCGCTTCACCTCAACATCTCCTCCGCTCTCTCCTGCTACCCATCTTCCCGTCTCCCTCTCCCCGCCTCCCCCCACCGTGCTCCGGTGCATGCCCCGACATCAGCCCTGCCGACCGCACCACATGGGATCGCCTGCTCTCACTTTCCCGCTTCCCTCAGGTACCCCCTCTCCTCTCTCCCTGCAAACTTCCCAGCCATTTCTCTTCTGCAGTCACGCAATCCATGGGCCATTCAGTCCCTCCCTATGCACAGCCTGAAACCTGACTCTAGCATTCTCCGCTGCGCTATATTGTACACATACCTGTGTCAAATTATATGTTTAATATTATGTAGGCTGTAGTGGGTTTAGCCTTAGGGGGTACAGAAACTTGCTCGACACTTGTTTGTACCACCCTCCAAACCCTAATCCAGCACACCTTCACACTATTCTGAGATGGTATTAAGAGCTTAGGTTCTAGACCTAGGACCACTTACCTAAGGGCCCACCATTCCGCTAGAGGCGCCCTCGTGCGCCTCTCTCTCTCTCACGCTGCCCGTGCGCAGCTCGCTAGCCGCCCGCGCGTGGCCCCTTTTCTTTTTTCTAGCGCGAGCAGCCCGCCAGCAGCCCGCGCGCGGCCCGAATCGCGCGCGCGACGACCGTAGGCCGCCCGCGCGACTAGCCCCGCCCACGAGCAGCCCGCTAGCCGCCCGTCGACCGGCCCGGCTGGCCTTCCAGCGCGACGCAGCCCCGCCCGTAGGCCGCCGCCCGCGCGCGACTGCAGCCCACGCTCGACCGCTCGCCCCTGGGACGGCGCTCGACCCACCGCCGCCCGCCCGCAGGTCGCAGCCCGCGTGACGATCGCGTGTAGGCTGCTGCAGCTCGTACTTAACTGCAGCTCGCGCTTGGCTGCAGCTCGCGCTTCGCTGCAGCACGTACCCAGCTGCGGCCTGCGCGCAGCTGCACCCTACGGGCCGCCGCGCACCGTGCATAGGCCCGCCGTTGCGCTGCCCTACCTGCCCGAGCCGCGCCGCCCTGACCTACTGCTTCTACTTGCTGCCACTGCTGCTACTTGCTGCAGCTGCTTCTACTTGCTGCCACTGCTGCTACTTGCTGCAGCTGCTTCTACTTGCTGCCACTGCTGCTACTTGCTGCAGCTGCTTCTACTTGCTGCCACTGCTGCTACTTGCTGCAGCTGCTTCTACTTGCTGCCACTGCTGCTACTTGCTGCAGCTGCTGCTACTTGCTTGTTGTAGGAGCAGCCGCCCCTGCCCCTGGAGCAGCCGCCCCTGGCCCCTGGAGCAGCTGCCTCTGCAGCAGCCGCCCCTGGCCCCTGGAGCAGCTGCCTCTGCAGCAGCCGCCCCTGGCCCCTGGAGCAGCCGCCCCTGCAGCAGCCGCCCCTGGCCCCTGGAGCAGCCGCCCCTGCAGCAGCCGCCCCTGGCCCCTGGAGCAGCCGCCCCTGCAGCAGCCGCCCCTGGCCCCTGGAGCAGCCGCCCCTGCAGCAGCCGCCCCTGGCCCCTGGAGCAGCCGCCCCTGCAGCAGCCGCCCCTGGCCCCTGGAGCAGCCGCCCCTGCAGCAGCCGCCCCTGGCCCCTGGAGCAGCCGCCCCTGCAGCAGCCGCCCCTGGCCCCTGGAGCAGCCGCCCCTGCAGCAGCCGCCCCTGGCCCCTGGAGCAGCTGCCCCTGCAGCAGCCGCCCCTGGCCCCTGGAGCAGCCGCCCCTGCAGCAGCCGCCCCTGGCCCCTGGAGCAGCCGCCCCTGGCCCCTGGAGCAGCCGCCCCTGCAGCAGCCGCCCCTGGCCCCTGGAGCAGCCGCCCCTGCAGCAGCCGCCCCTGGCCCCTGGAGCAGCCGCCCCTGCAGCAGCCGCCCCTGGTTTTTGGAGCAGCCGCCCCTGGAGCAGCTGCCCCCCCCCCCCCCCCCCCCCCCCCCCTGCAGCTGCCGCGGAGCCCTCGCCCTGCAGTGGTGCCGGCCTTGCCGTTGCCGCCGTCGTACGCCGCCCTTCTTGCCACTGGTGAGCACTGTCCTGCCTGTACTGCTGTTACCGCTGCTCCTGCTGCTACTGCTCTTTCTACTACTACTGCTGCTAGTACTGCTACTGCTGCTCCTGCTGCTACTGCTGCTCGTGTTGCTCCTACTGCTCCTGCGCTTTCTACTGCTACTGCTGCTCCTGGCGTGGCCAGATGCAGCTCCAGCGCCGTCCGCGTGAGTCCCTCACGCCCCCACAGCTTCATGAGTGGTACGCTCGTTGGGGTTGTCGGGGTGGCCGTAGTGGGAGTCGTTCTGGCGTGAGTAGTGTCGGGGCTTCTTGTAGTGGCCAGGTGCAGCTGCAGCGTCGTGTGCGCGCGGTCCCTTCGCCCTCGCAGCTTCATGAGTGGTACTTTCAGCGGGGGGGGTCACGGGGTTCTGCTCGCTGCCCGTACGTCATTCGCACTGGTGCTCGGACTGGCCAGCCTTGCGGGACGTTTGGTCACACAGAGTCCCGCTGCTTCGCCAGTCTGAGCGACGCCTGGCGTACAGAGTTTGGCGACGCGGCTGAGCTCCCCGACTGGGTGGAGCTGCTCCGGCAGAGGGTAGATATCTATGCTCTTGACTATGATGCTATCCTTACTGCCATGTATGCATTGTCTACTAGTGATGCCGGTGACTGTTCCCTGAGTGTTCCGCCCGACCCGGGCGGTGCAGCTGCTGCTCTAGGTGCTAGTGAGTCTGCTACTCCAGGTGCTGGTGAGTCTGCTCTCTCAGGTACCACGTCTGCTCCGGCGTCGCACACTTTCACCCTTGACTCGGGTGCTTCCCGCTCCTTCTTTCGAGACCGCACCACTCTCACGCCGCTCAGTCGGCCGGTTGCAGTCTCCCTGGCAGACCCCTCTGGGGGTCCTGTTCTTGCCCACTACTCCACTGTACTACCGTGTCCAGCGGTCCCGTCTGGCTCCCTGTCGGGTCTTTACCTCCCCTCGTTCTCTACGAACTTGGTGGCGGGTGCTGACCTACAGGATGGGGGGGTTGACCAGTTCACCCCTGCGCGTCAGCGGGTGACCCACTGCACGTGTGCGGACACGGGCCGACACTTGGCCACGTTTACCCGTCGGCCGGGGTCGAGCCTGTACACCCTCACTACCGAGTCTCCTCCGGTTGCTGTGCCTGGTCAGGTAGCTGCGTCGGGTCAGGTGTTTGCTGCGGCGTCTCGGTCTGGTCCTGAGTCTGCCCCCTGCTCGTGTCGCCTCCTGTCCCACGAGACTCTTCTCTGGCACCACCGTCTTGGTCACCCCTCCCTGCCTCGTCTCCGAGGCATGGCCTCTCGTGTCCTGGTCTCTGGTCTCCCCCGGTCGCTCCCTCCCCTCCCTCCGGGGCCTGCCCCTACCTGTGTCCCCTGCGTCGAGGGGCGGCAGCGCGCCGCTCCTCACTCCTCCGAGTTTCCGCCGACAGAGGCTCCGCTGCAGACTCTTCACATGGACGTGTGGGGCCCAGCCCGCGTCCGTGGACAGGGTCACGAGCGCTACTTCCTGCTGGTGGTTGACGACTACTCGCGTTACACCACAGTCTTCCCCTTGCGCCGCAAGGATGAGGTCACTGAGGTGTTGATCGACTGGATCCGCGCAGCTCGTCTCCAACTCAGGAAGAGTTTCGGCTCGGACTTTCCTGTTCTGCGTCTGCACTCTGACAGAGGTGGAGAGTTTTCCTCCGGCCCTCTGCGAGCCTTCTGTCGTGCGAGGGGCATCCGCCAGACGTTCACGCTTCCAGCCTCTCCACAGCAAAATGGGATTGCTGAGCGCCGCATTGGCATGGTCATGGATGTCGCTCGCACGTCCATGATCCATGCGGCTGCTCCCCATTTTCTGTGGCCGTTTGCGGTTCAGTACGCGGCGCGTCAGATCAACCTTCAGCCCCGGAACTCCATGCCGGAGACCTCCCCCACTCTGAGGTGGACGGGGAAGGTTGGCGATGCGTCTGCGTTCCGTGTCTGGGGATCTCGGGCTTTTGTCCGAGACTTGTCTACGGACAAGCTGTCCTCCCGTGCTGTTCCCTGCGTCTTCCTTGGCTTCCCCCCTGACGCGCCTGGTTGGCAGTTTTACCACCCCACCTCGCGCCGTGTTCTGTCCTCCCAGGACGTCACGTTTGACGAGTCGGTTCCGTACTACCGTCTCTTCCCCTACCGCGCTGCCCCCCTTCCCCCCCCGCCGCTCTTCCTTACGCCAGGTCCCCCCCCGGTAGACCCCCTCCCCCCTCAGGGTCCTGCTCCTTCAGGTGTGTCTCAGGTAGACCCCCCCCCCTTGGCTGAGCCTTTGGAGGTCACTTCCGACACCTCTGGCCCACCTGAGGGGGGTGACGCTGCTGCTGACGCCCCGGCGGCCTACCGCCGTGCACCACGCTTGGAGACCCCTCCAGGGTTCCCTCCGCGACCTTCTTCGCCGCCTCTGCAGCCGGTTCCTGTTGACTCTGGTGCTGTTGGGGGTGGTGCTCCTGGAGGTGCTGCGTCTGGGGGTGCGGAGTCTGGGGGTGCTGAGCCTGCGCGTGAGGAGACTGGAGGTCCTGCGCCTGGGGGTGCTGTGTCTGGGGGTACTGAGCCTGTGTGTGCGGAGTCTGGGGGTGCTGAGTCTGGAGGTGAGACGCTTGAGGGTACTGGGACTGCTGGTGCGCGGCCTACTTGGAGTGGCCGCCTTCGTCCACGTGTGCCTCTCACCCCTCAGCAGCTGCACGACTGGTACGGTCGCCGTCAGCGTCGCGCTGCTGGAGCCCGGGGCTCTGCTGCTGGAGGTACTGGAGCTGCTGGGGCTGGGGGTGCTGCGTCTGGAGGTGCCGTTTCTGGAGACACTGAGGCTGGAGACCCTGGGACTGGAGGTGCTGGTTCTGGGGGTGCTGCTGCGGGAGACAGTGCGGTTGGAGACCCTGGGACTGGAGGTGCTGGTTCTGGAGGTGCTGCTGCGGGAGACACTGCGGTTGGAGACCCTGGGACTGCAGGTGCCGGTTCTGGGGGTGCTGCTGCTGGTGACGCTAGTTCTGGAGCTGCTGGAGCTGCTGGAGCTGCTGGTGCTGGTGCAGCTGCGCCGACACGACTGTTCTTCGCTCCACCGTCTCCGTCGTCTCTGCCGCCGCCTGACTCTGCTCTTCGTCAGGTTGTTACTCTCCCGTCTTCTACTGGTCTTCCGTTACAGACTGGCTCACCGCTACCTGCTCCCTCTCCTTACACTGAGCAGACAGGCAGTCCTGCTACGCGTCGTGAGCCTGCGTCGCGTCCTGTCTCACCTGTTCGTTCTGGTCGTACCGTTCGTCGTGTCGCTCGTGCGCGTCAGCCGGCTGTCCCCAGCGCACACCTTGTTGTCCGTCGTCCTTCCTCTGCTCCGCAGCCTGTTCCTCTGCCGTCTCCCCCTGCGTCCTCTCTGCCTGCCGTTCCGGACCCTGAGTCTGACCGGTTTCGTACTGAGCACCCTACTGTCACGCGTCTGTTAGCCACTGTTGTCACTGACCCGTCGTTTAAGTCTACTGCTGCGTCTGCCTTGGTCGCTGAGCTTGTTGACTTTGCTGCTGCCTGTCGTCTAGACTACGCCGCTAGTCTTGTTGCTGAGTCTGAGTCTGTCTGTCCTCCGTCCGTCGGGGGTGAGTGTGCTCTTAGCACGGACGTCCTTGAGGACAGGCAGGAGGAGTTCCAGTGTCTTGCTGCTGCTTTACCTCATCTTGTGTCCTCGCTACTTGCCCCTGAGGGAGACCCGGATGCACCAGACATCCCGACTCCACGCTCTTACGCAGAGGCGATAGAGGGTCCCTACTCCTCTCAGTGGCAGGCAGCCATGGACACAGAGATGGCTTCCTGGAAGTCCACAGGCATCTACGTTGACGAGGTTCCCCCACCTGGGGCGAACATCGTCAGTGGCATGTGGATTTTCAGGGTGAAGCGGCCGCCGGGTTCTCCGCCTGTCTTCAAGGCGCGTTACGTGGCTCGAGGCTTCAGTCAGCGGCAGGGAGTTGACTACTTTCAGACCTTCTCTCCCACCCCGAAGATGACCACTCTTCGGGTGCTGCTACACATAGCCGCTCACCGTGACTACGAGCTTCACTCTCTGGACTTTAGCACAGCTTTCCTACAGGGTAGCCTGCACGAGGAGATCTGGCTGCGCCGCCCACCTGGCTTCACTGGGTCGTTTCCTCCTGGTACCCAGTGGAGCCTCCGGCGGCCAGTCTACGGTCTCCGCCAGGCGCCGCGTGAGTGGCACGACACACTGAGGACTACGCTTGCGGCTCTTGGGTTTGCTCCTTCTACTGCCGACCCGTCGCTGTTTCTGCGCACCGACACCTCTTTGCCGCCGTTCTACATCCTCGTGTACGTCGACTTGGTCTTCGCTACAGCTGACACTGCCGGACTTGCCCACGTGAAGTCAGAGCTGCAGAAGAGACACACGTGCACAGACCTGGGTGAACTGCGCAACTACCTCGACTTGCAGATCACCCAGGACAGAGCACGGCGCACCATTACACTGTCTCAGTCACACATGGTGCAGCAGGTCCTTCAGCGCTTCGACTTCACGTACTCCTCGCCTCAGGCCACTCCTCTGTCTACTCGCCACTCGCTCTCAGCTCTGCCTTCGGATGAGTCCGTAGAGCCGAGTGGCCCGTACCCAGAGCTTGTTGGCTGCCTCATGTACCTGATGACTTGCACGCGACCTGACCTTGCATACCCTCTTAGCATCTTGGCACGCTATGTTGCTCCTGGGAGACACAGACCAGAGCACATGGCTGTAGCGAAGAGGGTGTTGCGCTACTTGTGCAGTACGTCAGGCATGGGGCTCGTGCTTGGAGGGCGGAGTCGAGTGGTTCTTACGGGTCACGCAGACGCGTCTTGGGTCGACGACCTGGCTACACAGCGGTCGTCACAGGGTTACACCTTCAGCCTTGGTTCCGGCTCTGTTTCGTGGCGGTCTACTCGCTCGTCTTCTGTTCTCAGCTCCAGCTGTGAGGTTGAGATCTACGCAGGAGCCATGGCTGCACAGGAGCTTCGCTGGCTCACCTACCTGCTGACTGACCTTGGAGAGCCGCCTCGTTCTCCTCCAGTTCTGTACGTAGACAACAAGGCCATGCTGGCCTTGTGTTGGGAGCACAGACTGGAGCACAGAACGAAGCACATTGCTCTTCGGTACTTCCTTGCTCGTGAGCTGCAGCAGCGTGGTCAGCTGCGCCTTGCTTACGTGGCCTCTCAGGCCAACACTGCTGATATCTTTACCAAGGCACTTCAGCCTTGTGATCATCAGCGCTTTTGTACTATGCTAGGTCTTGTGCCTACTTGGCCTCACTTGCTCACTTCTTGACCTTGCTTGTACTGTGATCTATATGTATACCTGCACCCGCATGCTTACGCTTGCTAGGTTGAGATCACTGCATTGTTTGTTCACCTTGATATATACCTCACCTTGTGAACTGGCCTTGTGGCCTTGTGCTTGTGCTCAGAATGCGTGGTGACGTTGTGATCCACCCTGAACTTGTTTTGCTTTGTTTCCTCTCTTGACTGGTCTTGTGACCGTTTGTTTTGTTGGCTATCCCCCACTTTGCCTATGGGGGTGTGTCAAATTATATGTTTAATATTATGTAGGCTGTAGTGGGTTTAGCCTTAGGGGGTACAGAAACTTGCTCGACACTTGTTTGTACCACCCTCCAAACCCTAATCCAGCACACCTTCACACTATTCTGAGAACCTGTGTTGTTTTGCCGCTACAGCTTACCACCGCACCGCGTCCTGTCTTCTGTTTTGTTTTATTTTATTTTATTTTTTCCTTCCCACTGCCTCCCACCCACACATCCGTTTTTCAGGTGTATGTGAAGACCTCGGCGCATTTCCGAGTGTCAAGAGAGCCTTACCCCTACTCAGACACATGGGAGCAAGTGCGTGATTTGATTAAGGCTTTCGGCGCACACAGGTTGCTATGGGGAAGGTACGTTCTCTGCCATCTATCCCCTTGAGCCTCTGACCTACTTGTCAATTTTCCTCTTACCTTCTCACTCTCTAGGCACCCTAGGTTCTCTGGGTTGTTTTGAAACGTGCTGCCTTAACTATGTTTGCCATGCAGTGACTTCCCATTTGTGGTTAACGAGTGTGGCTACAAGGAAAGTTGGGATATTCTTCAATCAGGCACCAATGGGTTGTCCAAGGAAGAGCGTTCGTGGATCCAAGGGGCCACTGCTGCTTTGTTATTTCCAAATGCATGGAAATCTTGACATACCGGTACTTGTTTGTAGCACTATCTTACAATCAGGGCCCGTGCTAGGATTTAAGGCACCCTGCGCCCTCAGGGTAACTTTTGATAATTTTCTGAAATGCCTTGATTTTCGAGGGCAAAATTCCCTGGCCATCCTGAAATTTCAGGGCACCAGCAGAAATTAATCCGAATGATTCAAGGCAAAAAATACAAGGCACTGGAGAGGATGGAGGGGAAGGCACAAAAGGAGTAGGTTGCTCACTGGTTTCACTGCTGGCTGAGCAAAAACATTGGTGGGGGAGGGGTGGGGACAGAACTAATAGCACACACACCCCAGCCTCCTTCCTCCCCTCTCCCCCTCTCCCCCTCCACCCCTTCTCCCCTTCCCACGAGTCAGGGCATCCCTCTACATTCACCCAAACGCTTCAGGGCAAAATTTCAATGCCATTCTGAAATTTCAGGGCAAAACACATGGATCATCCTGACGTCGCAGGGTAAATTTAAGCGTCATTCTGAAATTCCAGGGCAAACTTAAAACACCATCCTGAAATCAGGGTAATCAGGATGTTTTGCCCTGATATCGTGGGCCCTGCTTACAATGACAGTCTCAAAATTAGATTCGTGGGACATATTTTTACTGTAGGCTTATTGTGGTATCTTTAAGGAAGCTCATAATGGAAGAAACAAGTTCCCTTCCTGGTTCCTGGTTTGCAGTTTACTCGGTCATTTGAAAGAAAGGTTTTGGAGGTGCTTTTTGTAGCTCCCGCTTCCAGTTTCCACAAATGTTGCGAGAACGAAAACTATTGAGAGGTTTCCACGAGAGTCATCGCATGAATTCTGGGCTTCATCGACGACAGATCCATCGATTCGGATCCGAGATCCAACGGATGGATCGGGGATGCCTTTGGTGATGTTTCGTTGAAACATGCATGCGTCGCACGGGCAGCACGTCTGACATGAGAAGCAGTCTTCAAGCCCGCATGCTGCCCCTCACAAATGAAAGCGGGTAAAATTTCGTTCCTTCAGGAGTGATGTGGGAGACTTGTCACCGCCATGCTTTTCACGGGGCGTTAGGTCAAGCATCGTATCGCGGCCAAACATTTCTCTATGCGACGCGGCAGTGACGAAATGGGCAAATCTTTGCGTTGCGACAAACCATCACTGGTTGTCTTCGTGTCGCAGTTCACCCGTTGCGATTCGGCTACTGAGTGCAATTGCTCCTGCTCTCGGATTCCATCCATCTCACATTTCACATCGACACGCCGCCTTCAAAATCCTCCATAAACCTCCACCCCACCCTTCATTGGACTGAGTGCACGTGCCTTTCGTGCTCATTCCCTCTGATTTTCGCCCCTCCTAGCATAACATCATCCGATTTGCCAAAGAAACCTCTCGAGCTGTGAGCCTCTCAAAGGGAGGAACGGAAGCGGAGACGTCCTGCAGAGGAGGAGCACCACTCAGTCGTTCGCAGGACTGACTCTTTTGAAGGGCCTTGAACTCTGAAGTCGTTGATCGCATTCTTTCCGCCATCTTTTCCCCCTACCATATCGTGAACTGGACATTATGGGCTTCCCTGGTCATAAAACGTGGACGACATGCCTACCACTGGTACTCCTTTTCATCATCGTCGCGTCGCTGCCTGCAACTTCAGCGGGCTCACGAAAAATCCCTCTCTCGCGACAGTCGTCGCCTTTCCTCAAGAACTTCAAGTGCGACGCGTTCGCCAACGGCAGCGACTACTGCCAACTTGGTCAAGACGGCGTGCTTAACCTTCGAGCGTACCACAACAACATGGGATGTGAGTTATCCTCTCTCTCTTCTCCTCCCTCTCCTCGTCTACTTTCCTCTTCTTGCTCAATCTCCATCTCACGAGCCCAAGCTTGTCTTTTCATGTCAATCTTCATCCTTTTACACCAGACCCGAAGTTCAAATTTCGCTGATCGATTGTCGCCATGGCGTCGTCGCTTTACCCGTGGACCATCCGTGCTCCCTCTATGTGTGCACTTTGAGCCAAACCGCTCCCGCATGCACCCTCTCGCCGTACCTCACTGCGCCTTTGCTCACCCGATCCCCGCCCCTCCCTCGCGCAGCCTTCACGTCGCGCAACTTTTACAAGTACGGCATGTTCAGCGTGCGAATGAAGTTTCCCCAGGGTTACTCGGGCGGCATCATCCCCTGCATGTACTTAATCTCCAGCGGGAACAAAGGTTTCAAAGACGTACACGACGAGATCGACTTCGAGTTCCTAGGCGGCCAGAACCCGCGCGAGATTATTATGCATACTAATCTGATTACTAACGGCTACAACAAGCTTGAGCAGTTCACGTTTCCGTTCGACCCGTCCGCCGCGTACCATCGCTACAGCATCCTTTGGAGCCCCACGACGGTGACGTGGTTCGTTGATTCCATCCCCATCCGTATCGCAAACCGTCGGAATAGTCCTGCGTTCCCATCCAAGCCACTCCAGATTCGGGTGAGTGCTCTGCACGTTACCCAGACGTGATCGCGCTTTTGCGGGTGTTGGAAAGATAGATTTTCTTTGAGCCGTTTCGTTGCCAGTCCCTTAGCCGCGCTGTCTGTTGCCATTTGATTGCCTTCCACCACGCGCATCCATCCTCGAGCATATCCTCTTCCTTTACCTCTCTCTTTCCCCTAGCACACATCACTACGTGTGAACAAAAGTTCCATTCATCCTTACTCTCGAGCAATCTTATACTCATCCTCTCAGTTTCCCTCCGCATCTTCTCCTTCTTACTTCTCCCCGTACTCCCGTCTTCCGAACTCCCACGACCCCCTTCTACCCTCGCTTCTGCCTCCCTTTGCTCCCCGTCTCCCCGTCTCCCCGTCTCCTCTCCTAAATGCGCTGCAGGGCTCCATCTGGGACAGCTCTGCCTGGAGCGTACTCAAGTCCAACTTCAACTCAGGACCCATCACGGTCAGTTTCAAAAATTTCAACATTCAGGGCTGCCGCGTCACAAGCCGCAGCATCCCTCGCTGCGCCACGTACAAGGCTGGGAAGCAGCCGTGGATGTATCGCATGAGCGGGCTGCAGAAGAAGCTGTACGTGTGGTTTCAGAAGTACCATGTGGTCAAGAAGTACGCCTGGGAGAAGACCGTGTAGAGCAGAGGTAATGCGGTGGTCCAGTGGGATTCGTAACAGCGGAGCGAAATATTCGCTGTGAATCAAGTCGGGTTAGAATTGCCGAGGGTGGTGTGCCCCCGAAACCACTCGGGAACGTAGAGGTAGTGGAACTAATTTCGCTATACGGTGGTGGCACACGCAGCTCCTCAGCTGAAGGAGCACCTGCTTGTGAAGAGGAATCCAGCACAACCGTCCTAGATGTAGGAGAGTTTGATAGACTGACACAGAATAAGGAACTGGAAAGTTGACTTGGGCAAAAGCCTGCTGCTTCCAATGAGATGTGTGTGCTGTTTCTACGGTATGAGGTGTTTAGTCAACTTGCTGCAGCGCATTGAGTTCGCAGAACACTGAAGTAACGTTGATATGGTTGCTTAGACCTCACTGGATTAGGTTAGGCGGACTTGGTGCTGTGTACGGTACGTCTGCACCAATGTTCCCCCACACAGCTAGCTAAGTGGCTCAATTGGATCAACGTACATGGACAACATGGCACTAAGAAGTAAACTACCCAGCCTCCAGCAGATTTACTCATCAATCAAAAACTCAAACTCTTTCCTTGCTCTTTCTTTGTGACTTTGTACCTGCAAGGAAACACAGTTTGACTGCCTTGCAATGTGGGCATAACCATAACACAACTCACACTTGCAAGGAAGGCTGTCATCGATCCATCTGCACAACTTAAGCTCACCAGTGATGATAGTCTGTTGATGAGCAGATGACAATGACTGTTCCTCTCTTCATACCGGCGCATCTGTTGATTGTACAGATCTCCCTTTTCTTGTATCTATTCACAATGGAACCAGGCATGAAAGTAAGGGTGGGATGGGAAGGGAACTAACGGCAACAAACATGTCAACCAGACTTTTCTCTGGAAAGGTGTGAGCACTCTGTTGCTCACCTCTCCCTGCAGCTTCATTTTTTCCTCAACATAGGCGGATTCCCCTCGCACAATCTCCTTGCGCACAGCCTCCTCGCCTCTTTTCGCAGATTCCAGAGCAGTCTGCAGCTCCTCGAGCTGCTTGTGCCGTGCCTCTTGTTTCTTGTCTCGAACAGCGTCTGCAAAGGCATAACACACCATCTCAGCTACTTGTAGAGAAGTACTTCACACAACTGCATCCCAACAACCATGCACCTTCTTGAGGAATCCGTTCTGCTTTCCTTCTCAAAAACTCCCTCTGCTGTTTCAACTTGTCGATAGCACTCGCCTTTGCTTGGATCTCCAATTTCAGCTTGTTACAACTATCAGCCTGAGGAGTACAGATTAAACCGTTCAGATTCATGACAAGCCGGGCTCCTCACAAATACAACCTCACGAAGGCTGGATTTGATTAAAGAATGAAGGATAACCAAGCAGAAGCAAAAACTATGCCTTGAAGACATACAGTGGATACAACGGGTTGGATTGTCTCATTGCGACGCTTGATCACCTCAAGGACCTAAGAGACACAGAGCGCAGCACACATTCATTAGACGAATTAATAGAGTGTACGTCAACACAGTGGGAGCAAAAGGTGCAAAGAAGCGTACATCTCTTGACATCAGAAGCTTCTGCCGGAAAACCTTTGCTCTGTCGGACTCTTCCTTCTTCGCTTCAGTTTCTGCCTGAATGGCTTCTTCAACTCGTTTGAGCGCCATCTGCAATCGAGTGGTGTGTGAATATCTCACAAACCTGAGCGCGACGAACGTGTCAATAATCATCCTTCTCACCTCCAACTTCTGAGGAGATTGGGCAATTTGATGCTGAAGCACCAATGCTTCTGCCTCGGCGTCAGCAGTCTTGCCCTTCTCTGCCAATATCTGGCATACAATCACGCGAATCAGGAATTGCTACACATAATCGTCAAGGCTCCGCTTTGCCATGCTGGGTTGAGGATAACCGACCTCTGCATTTAGCTTATTCAGCTGCTCCTGCTTTGCAGTCACGGATTTCACAACTTCGTCTCGCTGCTTGGTTAATTCTTGAATGTTCATTCTGAGGCCGTCCAATCCCGCCTTCAAACATTCCGATTCATTCTCATCGGCTTTGTTACGTTCGTCTTGTAATACGATTTGTGCGTCCACCTGCGAACCAGAAGGTTGTCCCAAAGTCAGCCAATTCTGGTTAGGTCTCTTCCAAAATCGGAATTGAAGAAGACGCCCTACCTCTGAAATTCGGCCCTCAAACATTCGTTTCGACTCGGTGATTCCCTCGTTCCTCTCCAAAACGAGATCCAAACTATCTGCATACTGATGACTGTGGAGGAGAGGAAAAAAAGGTGATTGTACGCGGAATGACGAAAGCAGTGGATTACAAACAGCTAGCCTGGAGTATGGTTACGAACCCCTCGAACTCACATGAAAAGAAAGAAGTTCGCGAAAGCAGAAAGCGCACGTATTGTTCGCGCTGAATTTGGCTTCACCAGATCTCGTATTGTAAACCATGGTGAATCCGCAGCAGACACGATCTGTGAAACTGACTGAAAGAGACGGATGATTCCGATTGACTCTTGATGCGCTTCTGGTACGTCAAGGTGTGATCTCGCGATGGCATTATCCACATGATATCGGTCCCTAATGGGAGAGGGATATCCGATTAGAAACTTCAGCGAATTGGGCAATGTTGTCAATCAAAACCTTACCTCTTCCTCGGCAAAGTGAAAGACACTATAGCTTCATAAACTTGTCGCATAACATCGGCCGTCGGTCGTAAAATGTCATTCTCGGTCAGTTTATGAATTCCCTCATATCTCTTCACTAGGTCCTTGGCGCTCAGAATGGGAAACGACGGAGCCATTTCCAGCAGCCTGTTTCTGCCAGCACTCCGCTTTGAAATTGGAAAAATCGCTGTGTAAATGAGAGACATGGTACAAAGGGGAAGCAAGCCGAACTCGAGTCGTGCATGTATGGGGTGGGGGTTGTCACTGTCAACATTGAAATTTGAAAGAACGTGGGTGTTGTCGACAAAAGGCAATGATCGGTGTACTACAACATACAAGCAATGTATTTTATGCACAATCAACAAGTATTTCCATGAAACCTCAGACTACAAGCGTTTCAATTTTCAATATTGATCACCTGGCCAGTTACAAAGAGCATTTGAAGGCTCGTATCGAGGAGATGAAACACTACAATAACCAACAGATGCCTTCACCCACTCAACACCTTGCCTTTCCCGTCTAGTGTGTTGGTTGGGAGATATGGTTGAAGACATCCTCCTTGGCTGGTAGATCAAACCTGCTGTTTAACATATTTGTAAAACAACAACGATTCATGCTGGGAGCCTCCATCTCCATCGCACTACTACACACAGTCCCTGCTCCCAGATGTACATCTAACACAAAACACATACAACAAACATGCAACCCTGTCCACACATCGTGTACTGCGGATTGCTAGCTACCTACCCCCTCATTCCTTCCCACAACATCTCATCCCAATTACTCCACCGCCGCTGCTCAACCAAGCAACCCCGGCCATACAACCAATCCACGCTATTTCTTGCTGACTGCAACAGGCTCAGTCCACCCTGGCGCGCCTTCCAGAAGGTGTGCGTGCAGCCAGTGCCTTGTCGCATGAAACGCATCTTCCGCATCCTCATCCTCCTCCATGCTCTTGGGCCGGTGCGCAAACGCATGGTCCCGCCCCGCATACACCCTCGTCACCACCTCCACCGCCTCCCCCCCCGCTCCTGCTCCTCCCTTCACTCTCCTCGCCACCTCTTGCAGGATCTCTGTAGTGCAGAGCGAATCGCTATCCCCAGCTACCAGCAGCAGCGGCACCCGGATGCTCCCAGCAATCGCAGGATCGAACCTCGTCCCGTAGAAAAACACCCCAGTGCTGAACAGCTCAGCTGTCAACCCTTCCCCGTCACTCCCACTGCTGCCATCCCGAGCCAGAGCCTCAATCAGCCGCCCCCCTCCAAAGCAGAAGCCCAGCAGGGCGATGCGGCCGTTGCCGGGGCTGACAGGCGCGGGGGTGGAGATGGAGGCGGCAAGGTAACGCGCAGCGGTGTCAATGTCGGTGGCTAGCTGCGCGGAGTCGAGTGACTCGCGCCATGCCTCGTACTCCTCCTGCGGGCGGGACGCGTCCCAGGGCTGCCCGCGGAAGAGGTCGGGGATGAGCACACTGGTTGAGGGAGTTGGAGAAAGAGGGGAAAGAAAGCAAAAGGGGGGAAAGTGTGAGAAATGTGGTATTGAAGTAAATTAGGTGTAGAGGTGGAGGCGGTAAAAAGGGAGGGAAAGGGGTAGGGGAAAGGTGGAAATTGGGGCAAAGGTATTTGCATGAAGAAATTCGTCAACTTGTTCTTCTGCATGGGCTACAAAACTGGCTGGTTTCGAGGCGAATCTACAGGCAATAGTGGCGTTGGAAGCAAACAGAACGAAAATTCGGCGTTTGCAAGAACGTCGCACCCAACGTATTTTCCATGTTTATCACATTTTACATTCCAGCGTACCTTCTCGCGTTCGGAATTCGACTTAACAAACGGACAAAATCCCGACGCACCTGTAGCCGAAGCAAGCAAGCCGGTACGCGAACATCTTCGTGTCCGCATCATCGAGCCCCATCACATCAGACAGCAGCACCACGCCGCTCCCGTTCTTATTCTTAATCGGCTCCACCAGATGCGCACGGAACCCCTCCCGGTCATCCCCCAGCCCGTGCGCCGCGGCTGCAATGGCTGCTGTCGTGGTTGAGCTTGCATCTGTCGGCCCCTCGTCTCCCCCCAGCATCAGGTCGCGTCCGTGTACGATCTCGCACGTTTCGTCATCCGCCTCCGCGCTCACCGCCGCATCGTTCCCCGCGCCCACGCTCGCGCGCAGAGTGAGCGCGGGAGGGCGCCGACGCACGGGGAAGGTGGAGGAGCGAGGGCGCGCGGAGGTTGGAAGAGGCGCTGGGAGGGGGGAGACGAAAGCGAGAGACGACGAGCGAGTGGGCGGGGTTACAATGGGTGGTACGAATGGTGTTTGGGGCCGTAGAAGAACAGAGAACAGAAGCAGCGCACATGGCGTACAGGTGGAGCACGGGGGGAGAACATGGAATAAAAAATGAGGGGAGGAAGGAAAAAAATGGGGAACACATTCACATGTGCATCTTGTACCCTCGTTTCCAGCCTACCATAAATTTCAGTGTTTCCTGTTGTTAGGACCACGAATTCGATTGTAATGTCAAACATTTGTAAATAATATAAACGTGACACAGAAAGCGTGATTGTAACCAGAAGGAATCTTGTTCTCACGGTTGTAATTCGATGAATCCGAACAACTAATTATGGCTCTACGTACCTGGAATCAGGGTGGAGCCTAAGCGAATGCATGACGCTCGTCCATGGCCATGAGCATGTCTGCCTTGCGTGGCCGAGGGACACACGACATGATTTAGCGCCCGCGGGCAAACCGACGAGAGAACCATGGCAACGGAGCGTAGAACAGCAGAGGAAAATATGATATACGTGAGATTGAATAAATTCGAATTGAGTGCTGTGACCAGAACTGGCAGGCTGTTCGGAGATACCACTGAGGTCAGAACAAGTGAGCGTGATGGTCCTTGGGAATATCGCCAGGGAAAAATGGCAGGAATCCCCAGGAACGGGGATGCAGCAACACGTAAAGCATGGGGTCAGGGGGAAGATGGTACAGTGGGGGGAGAAGAGGTTGCTGGGGGGTTACAGCAGTGATGAAAGTACAGAATATGCGGCAGTACAGCTCGGCGCGGAGGGACTACCCTGTGCGGAGGCTGACATGGGCAGCCTGCCCACGTGGATGGAGGTTGCGATTCGCTGGCAATGGAGGTAAGGATCAGCCTCGGAAACGAGTCAGCAGGTATGGAGCTCCCAGAAACTTTCAGCCCTCCCCACCAGGTCAGCTGTATTTCTGCCATGGAGCCACCTGAATAAAGCTACGAGCCAGATTCATGGACCCACAAATACCCTGACTGGGTAGCGTTCTGGGTGACCTCCTCAAACCTAGGGACAGCTCGAGGTTCGGAAGGGAAGAGAACCTACGAACCAAACCAAAGTTGTTGATCACGGATGTAGCTGTACCTGCGAACACTTCACAAGTGTTGCTCTTCAACTATAGCTCAATCCGCATGGGAAAGAAACAGTAGTACATTCATTTAACCAGTGTCCCAGATGCTTGTGTGCTTCATCACCACATCTAATATAGCAGCTTCAAGCAGGAACAACAACTCACGAAGGGTACCCCAAGCATGCCCCTACAACCTCCAGGCACAAGCCCCTACTCAATTGTATTGTAATATAGCAGCTTCAAGCAGGAACAGCAGCAGCTCCTGAAGGGTACTCCAAGGATGCCTCTACAACCTCCAGGCACAAGCCCCTACTCAATTGCAATATCCACTGGTTGACTATCGTCATCATCTTCAATCACTATCACGCCATCACCTTCATCGTCATCCACTAATATCTTGGAGGATGTAGGCGCCACACCAGCAGCATCTGCAGTGCGCTTCACCCAGTCCCGCAGTGGTTCCTCATTCAAGTCCAGTCGCAAAATGCCAGCCACCACACCTCCAAAAAATGCAACCGGTTCCTTCACAGGTGCAATTGGGGGAGGAAGGGTTGTGGGGTGCATCAAGTGCGGACAGGAGTTAGCATAAGACGAGGAGGAAGGGTAAATGGCATGCGAATAGAATATGCAGAACTCAAGGCTGCAAAATTGGCTGGTGGAAAAAAGGGGAGACTTCAGCAGGATTGCACCATACTTGTACTGGAAACGGCTTGGAAGGGAAGAGAACGCACAGGGGAGAGCCATCGGAACAAAACATCTAGCAAATTACACAGTTCGAACCTTAATCGCGTTAGCGAGAATCTCGTCGCTCTTGGGGTCCAGCAGCGCCTGTGGACCTGGAAGGGCAGTCCGGTACGCTTGCGCTTTCCCGCACCGAGGCGTGCGCTGCTCACCATAGCCGGATTGGGAAACGAGGAATTGGGAATGTCGCACGGATGACAAACAGGTGGAATACAGTGTGACAAGGAACGGGGAGAAAGATGAGAGGCGCGCGGTTGGGAGGACGTCAAATAGTCAGATTGCAGTTCAAGTTTGAGTGAAAATCCAATCACGTAAAACATTAAAATGCCCAATCCTTCAATCCAACAGTTTCTATCGCTGTGGCATTGTAAATTACCAGCTGCAGAGGTATCAATCGCTTATGAGAAGCTTCTCGAGAAGCCAGGCTGTTCGAGGGGGAAGTTCGCCCTCTATTCGTGCCGTGTTCCGCGATCAAGCTAGTTGTACTTAGACGTGGGGTCCCAAGGAGACCAGAACATCTTAGTGCTGCCATTGACATCGACCTTCCAAGCAAAAAATGTTATGGCCGTCTGCTGGTAGTAACAGTCTCGAGGAACAGGTTTCTACAGAAAATCTTGAATCGAAAGCCAAATCGCGGCGCTAGAGACTGCTATGGATAAGTACCTGACCTAGCGTCTAAAATAAGTACCTGACCTAGTGATATGGGAACTAGCGGCTAACAATCCATGTGGAAACTTGTGGTCTGGTTTGGCGTAGGGGCGACTGGGTCTGCTGTGGCATCGATAGTGGTTGACGCTACATGATTACAGCAACTTCAAACATAGCATACAATACACTCAAACCAAAGTTCAGTAGATTGAAAAAATGAGATTAAGTTTTTTACATATCATTTTTCCGTGCAAATAAGAGCGGTTCCAAAAGCAAGTGGTTGTAAAGGATGTCAACCCAAGCGTCTGGAACTCCAGGCAAACACCAATGCGTGCAATCACCATCAAATGGATTAAGCCCCATCGCAACAGGCGAAGAAGGCCCCTCTGCTGTCCTTGGCTCATACCAGACTCCCAAGTGCCCATCCGGCCTACTTTGACTCAGCCTCGTTATTTTCAAAAGTCTCACAAAGGAGCCCTTGAGCGTAGCCCGCTGCATCGCATAAAACAGCTCCGCACTCCCAAAATTGTATCGCTCAACTAACCCCGATCGTTTCATCGGTGTGAGGGCACCACATGAGCCAATCAAGTGTGGCCCTGACTGAAGCCTTCCCAATTTCTGGAAGTCAGACCAGGACCCGCCCCGATAAGCCTCTGTAACCCAAGGTTGTGGCATGCCATGCCCTGTGTGCCTTGGAGAGAAGGAGAGGAACATAGGGACTCCTGGGAAGTTGGAGAGTCTGAGGTGCCGGTCTATTGTTGCCAGGCCCCACGAATAAGCTGCAAGGTTTGTGAGGTTTCGGTGCTGCCCGCCTACCCGGAAAAAGTTTGGCTGGCTTCTGCCTGGAACATTCTGGGACCACCAGACACCGGAAGAGAACACAACGACGTCGTACCGTGGAAGAACGGCGGCGAGTATTGGATCTATTCTATCCACGTTGACAATGTAGCCATGGCCGCCGCCCCGGGGATTATTTAAGTTAGAGCGTTGTCTCGCGTGGACGAGGTACGGCGAGAAAAGGAACTCGAGGGAAAAGGAGAAGCGGGGGAAGCGCACAGCCTTGATGTTGAAGGGCCCCCTGGTCTTGCGCACAAATGGCTGAAAGGCAGACAATCGGGGATGGAAAGGTTGTAGGAAATGTGAATAATGGAGCAGCAATATGGGAGAGCAGCTGCACAAAGTGGTAGATGCCAATGTTATCTGAATACATGCACCCGGGCTTTCTCATACCATGCATACCAATGGAACTGAACAGCAAAAGGAGTAGCATGAAACTGACTGTATGCTCCACCCTGCCATGTCCAACCCCCACAATCTCGCAAGCCAATGCAGGGACTGAGAACCGATTTTCGCCAAATCCATCCAGCCTGCTTGACCCTGCTACGCCACCAATTTAATGATCAGCAAAGGATGATCCCTCTCTAAAATAGACCGTGCTCAAGTCAAACCCTTAACCCCCAGCATCCACTCCCCACTCTCCACCCCACCACCCCTCCCTGCTGCGTATGCCCACCTTGCCCTGGTACCCTGCGGCGTGGATGGCGCATAGCAGCGCCTCGAAGAGGTTCCCCATGATCGAGTCGCCCACCAGCAGCATGCGCTGCGGTTGAGTGGAGGGGGCGCAGAGAGGGGGGAAGGACAGAAGAGGGGCAGCAGAGAGGAGGGGAAGCATGGAGGCGGGAAGACAGAGAGGAAGTGACGCAGAGAGGAGGCAGCGGAGAAGAGGGAAGAGAGAGATGAGGGAAGCAGAAAGGAAGGAGCAGGGGGAGGCAAGTGTCATACGGATTGCGTCACAGTGGCATCGGCGGTGAGGGGAGGAACTGACATGCGAGAGCGATCAACCTGGTTCAACAACACGTGATCGCTGGAGCATGAAGTGAGAAACACGGACTCCATACTTTCACCTTCCCAAGAGGTGCCGGGTAAATTCGGCCAAAAGAGAAGGCCCGCTCTCCACCAGTAACCCAAAGTTTCAAGGAACCAGCTTATCGAAGACTATATCAGCTTCCCAGAGATTAGGTCAGCTTACCCGCTGTTGCATGAGGTACTTAAAGCCCGTCCCGCTGAAGTAGCTCAGGCGGCATTTCTTGGCGTGCCAGCGGTACCGCTGGTAGCGCGAGTCGGGGCGGTTGTTGCGCTCGCACGCGTACAGCGGGCGCACGTACGGGCAGTGCCCCTTCTCGCCCACGCGCGCCGTGTAGCGCGGCACGCCCGTGCCCTTTGGAGCGCGTAACCAGAAGCCCACCGAGTAGTCGCACTTGCCTGCTCGTGTTGCATTATGGTAAGAGAAACAACCAGGGGGAAAGGGAGGAATGGGAGAAGGAAATCAGGGGAGAGGTCTCGATCATGCAGGGCCGCTTCCGCGTGTGCGGTTGGGACGGGCTCGCCAGGAGCAGGAAACGAGAAAGGCGCGGGAAGCGAGGGAAAGGGCAGCGAAAGCGAAGGCGGCACTCACGAGGCCAGGGCTTGGGTGCGAGAGGCGCCGCCAGGGGCGCGAGGGAGAGAAGGAGACCGGCGAGGAGTACGAGCGGGAAGAGGGGCAAGAAAGGGCGATGTGTTACGCGCCGGGTCGGTTGCCGCGGCAGAGCGCAAAGCGGGGATGCACTGAGCGCGGAGCGGTGGCATTTGGGGAGAGAACGGCGTGGGGATGAGGGGAGGAGGGGACTGCTAGTGACTGTCGGGCGCGAGGGCTGGCGGGGTGGGCGATGGAGGAAGGATGGGGAAGAGGAGCGGTGTTGGGAGGGGTGAGTGCGGTTTGCCGCCAGCATGGGTGGCATGACGACTAATAGACTTTGTGCGCGGCGGAAACGGAAAGATGAATGGGGAGATGGACGGGACTTCAAGGAGATGGGAATGGAGAAAGGCTTTGACCAGGGAAGGCGTATTTTGGGGGAAGGCGTAGACTGGGGAAGGCGTCGACTGGGAAAGGTTGACCAGTAAAGACGACCGGGGAGGGCGCGGATCAAGGAAGGCGTGGGGCAGAGAGCTAGGAGCTTGAGAAACGCGGGCTATACTCAGTAGTAAGCTGTTCAGTGAAGGCCGCACCAAGACTAGTGCACCTCTGCGGCAGATGCTCGCATGCGAACGGGCTCATGCGGTGAAACGAACGTGATAACACGACACCAGAGGTACAGTCAGGCACGAAGAGCTCTCGATGGTTTCTCAAGCTCTGGGTTTTGTTGAATGTTACGCGAGATGTTGCATTTGTGGCGCGTAAGAATTGCAAGGCGCGAATATGTGCGCACGATGTCTGCTCGGACTAGCCCAGGGTATCAAGTTAAAAAAGCAAGCATAGTCATGGCGATCATTACATGTCGTTGACTCCCTCGCCTAAAACCTCCTAATAAGACGGAAAGAGGTAATATAAGGACGGCAGAATGGACATGGACCGAGTCAGACTCAGCGCCCTCCTGCGGTAGGGAACTTTAATGGAAGCTGCCTCTCAATGGCAAGACATGAGATATCAACGTTGATCAAGGTAATCGTGCTGCTGGATGGATGGGGTGTGTTGGTGTTGGTGATGGCATGCTTGACTTTCATTGCCCTTCTGATTCTCTTGTCCCGAACTGGTGGTGGTACCCTCTGCGAGCAGGTGGGTGATCTAAAGACCGCACGGCGGCTCGATTGGAGTGGGTGATCTAACCACACATTGGAGTGGCGAATCCCGAAGCGCATCAAAAGACCGCACGGCGGCTCGATTCCAGGTGGCCTCGAGAGCAAGCTCGTGTAACTCGTTGGGAACGTGCGGATTCTGTAGCTGTATCTTCGCGAAAGTCGCTCTTGTTACATAAGCAGGTTGTTCATTCAACTGCATATAAAGCAACATACCACGTAACCGAAAACAGTACAATAAAATACAGAATACCAAGAGCAACAAGTTCCGACACACCAAGGTAGATAAATGGCTGCTAAACTCTGAAGGTTGCTGATCATTGGCCCATCATATTTATTCCTGACATGATGGAACAAGCACACCATACTGCCAGCAAAAGAAGCTACTGTGCCTGGTTCTGCTTCATTTCTTCCAACATCCGGTGCTTGGTTGCTGCGATCTTGTGCGCCAACATAATTCTCTCCACCTGAAAGGAAGGTCAATGACGGAGGAAGAGAACTCAGAATGAGCCAAGTAAAGGAATCAAAACATCAACGAGATAACAAACAAGGGTCCAAGGCACAAGGAAGATCGTCGCTCTAAACTGGTATACGCTCGACCGTGTGACCTAGATATTGGCCTGACAAGGGCTCAATACAGTAAGAAACAAACCAGACTCCTTCAATCATATCTCCCCATCAACAGCATCCATTTCACTACGCAGGGTTCGTCGCAACTTCTGTGAAACGACGCCCAGACTGATATAGCTAAGATGCTCATGTTTATAGAAATATGTCATACTTCTCTTGCAGTCACATGTACCTTAGACTCGTGCCGCTCCGCCATCCATTTGAAGACGAAATCGCTGGACTGCACAGCGACGAACGTGGCGGTGCAGAGAGCAGCGAAAGTAAAGATCCGCATTGCCAATAGCCTATACGTTCTTCGATAAGTTGCTGGCGCAGCGGAGGGAAGAGAGAAAAGGTGACACGAGATCGGGCCGCACCAGCGATTATCTCGTCTAGCTATGGTCGTTGTTGGTGGAATTTCTCGGGGTGGAGGAGCACGTGTGGGGGTTACTACCACAGTGCCTGCTCTCCAACGAATACAAAGAGGCTTTCCGCACGGTGTTGAAGGTTATCAGCATCCAATAAACGATAGCGGGAGCTGGCATTACCGAGACATTCGAATTCACACGAAAACAAAGGGTGGCTAGGCGAAGAGAGATTCTCGGACGAATTGTTACTTTGACGTCGTTCGCCAAAACGGTGAGGTTGGGTGTGGTTGGTTTTCGGTTTGGGCAACCATCTTGTTCAGAATGAATGATACAGTACAACTACAGTATATTTGAAACTATGATGACTCCATATTGGATGATTTTAGGTGGCCGGACAAACTTCTAGTGGCCTCATTGCAGATGAAAGGAACTGGAAAAACGTATAAACAATAAAAATCAGCGTATAAAAGATTCGCTGCAAAATCTTCACCACAAATGATACCTTCAAATGAAATACCGCATCCGAGGATCCTGCTTCATTGCCTGATACACCGCACGGACCTGCAGACAAGAGGAAGCAGATAATAATGGAAGCCCATCTTACGGTTACCAAGGCCCATCTTGCAAGTAAGCATGCACCAAACCCACCACAGCTGCATGCATCCGCCCAACCCTCTCATCCCTAGGTCCAGCCCTTTCAAACCTCACCTGCTCACTAGAGTCCATCCTAACAGGTCCAATCTTTACACTGATGTAACGACCCTTGGCACTCTCCCTGGTTACCACTTGAAGCTGAGAAGGGAGAAACACATTGGAACGGAAGGAGAGAGACGATTAAGGTCCTGGCAGTTGGAAGCAGGGTGGTGTGCAGGCAATAGAAACAGATCGCAAAGACAAAAGAATTCATCATTGAAGGGGAAACTGGCCACTCACTTCAGTGGATTGCCAAATAATCAGGCAGACCGTATACCCACCATAATCATGGACTATTTCCATGGTCCATTGGAAACAAAAACATTGTTGTATGCACCCCTGAAGACAACATGCCAGTGAATCCCCTGTTCCCAACATTGTTGTACTATGCACCCTGCAAACTGCCTTCCCATTCTGGAAATTTGCTCCAGATGTCTACACCCCTTTTTTCAGCCCAACCCTCCCTAATGTGACAGCGCATGTTAGCACACGCCACGCGGCACCTCCTCTCCCCCTGAACCGCACCCAACACCCCCGGCTCTTCTGCCTCACCTCAGCAACGTCTTTCGGAAGAACGGACTGCACAGCCTGCACCATGGCCACGGCAAAGTCCTCTCCTCCCGACCCGATGGCTGTGAAATCACGCAGACTGGGGTAAGTGTTCACCTGCCGCCACCGTGGGGAGAGAAGGAAGGAGAAGTGGGGAGAGTTTGCAGCGTCATTCAACTCCTCCTCCCACTGACAGGCACAGCGAAGGATCAGCCTTCCTGTCCAGATTTTGGGACTTCCCACTTCCCCCACCCGTCCCCTGAACATAGCAGGTGGCACAGGGCACACGATGCAGGGTGCAGGGCGCAGGGTGCAGCACAGGGCACGGGGCATGGGACACGGGGCATGGGGCACGGGGCACAGGGCGCAGGGCACAGGGCGCAGGGCGCAGGGCACAGGGCGCAGGGCACAGGGCGCAGGGCACAGGGCGCAGGGCGCAGGGAGCAGGGCGCAGGGCACAGGGCACAGGGCGCAGGGCACAGGGCACAGGGCGCAGGGTGCAGGGCGGAAGACGCAGAGGCGCACCTTTTTGTCGAGCTCGAGCCAGTCGTCGCCGTACTCTGATGCTGTGCCGCCCATGACCATGTTGGTCGTGCGTGCCTGCCGCCCCGCCATGCGCGATACCTCTGCCCAGTGGGAATGGGCGGGGGTTGTGGGGAGGAAGGGCGAATGGGAGGGGGAGATCGGAGAGGGGAGAGGGGTGGGAGATGGGGGTTGAGGGGGAAAGTGGGAGAGAAGAAGGGATGGGCAAGAGGGGGGGGGATATGAGGGAAGGAAGGAGAATGAAAGCCAACGGTTTGAAGGAAGGGCGATTGGAAGAGTGAATGTGGTTGAAGGCGAGTGAATGGTGAAATGAATGCAATTAAGGAGGATGAGGGCGGGATTAACGACCTCCCCGCCAGCGCTCCTCCTTCCCCTACCAACCACTGCATCAAATGCACTAATCGCGTCGCGCCGCCGCACCCACCACTGACTGCTTTAAGGAGCACATCTTGCGGTGGGCTGCCCTCCAAACTCCCCTCCTCGCTCGCGCTCTCGCTCACGCTCTCGCTCGTGCTGCTGCTTCCAATGCTGCCGCCGCCGCCGTTGATCCCGCTAATGGGCTCCGCGCTGCTGTCGCTATCGCTGCCGCTGCTGCTGCTGTTGCTGTCCGCGCCGCTTCGATTTCTCCCCCTGCCGAGTCGGGAGCTGACCTCGTCCCGCCCATCCCCGCCAATGCTGCCCTCCGCGGACGCGCGCATCACAAATCTCCGCGCCTCACTGCGCCCTTCCGCTACCCCCCATCCTGCTCCGACTCTCCTACCGCACCGCGGAAGACTATCTTGCGCCAGCTGATGAACGGCCCAGATCGCTTCATTGTCTGATCGAGATTTCGAGCTCCGTCGCGAAAAGAGCGACGCGAACGCCGGCGTATTTATCAATGAAATCCAGGATGATACGGCACTGCGAGAGGAAGAGATGGAGGTGTGCGACGCGCTCAGCGACGCGCGTGCGACGGAGCGAGCGATCGCGTGCGACGCGGATGGAATCGCGAGGAAGCACTCCATGAGAGGCAAGAAGCGAGCCAGCGATGCGGCGATGGGAATGAAGCCTGTGCGAAACGCGCGAAAGAAGCGAATAAGATGCTGTTAGCTGGTCCGGTCCTCTATATCCAAGCGCTTCAACTACTGATGCAGGAGATTACGTTGTGAGCCTGAATATCGCGTCGACTACACTATGGTGAGCGAGAGTCTCGATGGAAGCCCGCAGATATTAAATCTCTACCGTCCGCGTCGGGCAATGGAATTGGGCGGCGGGTCGGGTTACCATGTGTAACGGCGGCTTTGGCTGGCGGCTTTGGCGGCGGTAATTTAGCACGCAGACATGGGGGAAATGGGGAGGCGCGGTGGGGGAATGGCGGAGGCGGGAAGAGGGGGAAGACGGCAAAGCGGAAAGAGGAGTGAGGGAACTGTGGAGGGGAGGGGAACGAAGAAGCGCGCCGAATGTTTGGCGCGAAGTTCCACTGTGCCCCCGTGGATCATTGGCCTGCCATTCGTTCCGTTGATGGGCTCACTGACTGATGAACTGGCATGACGTGGCGTGTGTAAGCCACGTATTGCTCAGTCATTTCACCACGTGGTTTGACCTATCGGGAAAACACGTGTGACTTTTGTAACGGGCTGTGATTATTCTGAACACGTGCTCCTCAGAGACGTCCTCGTTTCTGCTTTAAACGAACGAGAGAGAACACTATGCGTTAATCAATCACCCTACGTTCCAGAAAATGGAGGCAGAGTAGGCAAAAACGTATGCGCTATGCAAATACACCAGCAGGGCAATCCTTTTTACCGAAATTCCTGAGCAGAGTATCTATATACTCGTTACAGCCTCCTTTCACTGTCATGTCACGCACACCCATGATCACCTCACCACCACCAGAGCAGTCACGAATGTTGGCTAGCTCGCGGCGCATCCATCGAATCTTTCGCTTGTCGCGGATTGATGCATCGTAGCAAGTTCATAAGACGCGGCTGCGATTGCGGCACGGCTAATAACCTGCCACCGGTTCCAGAACAAAAACTCCACGCGTATTACCGTCGGTCCATTAGGGTTTCGACGCTTAGAGCGACGTCGCCCGCCGGCCTTGCGCGACCAGCGCGATTCCGACCATGTGGCCGCGCGACGGCAACAGGTCAGCAGCGGCGGCACCAATCGGCGCTGCCACGTCAGCAGCATCCAGCGCGGCCGCCACGTCAGCATCATCATCATCAGCAGCAGCAGCAGCAGCAGCGGAGGAGTCGATAGTGCCGACGCTGTGTTGCTGCATCTGCACGGAGCTGTTCGAGCAACCCATGGTCGTCTCCTGCTGCGGTACGCCCTGCGCAGCTTTCGCTCTTGCTGCTGCTGCTGCTGTTGTTGCTGCTGCTGTTGCTGTTGCTGCTGCTGTTGCTTCAACGCCCCGCCTGCTGCGGTACACCCCGCTTGCTGCCCCACGCCATGCGACCTCAAAAGCCGTGCCCCCATGCCTTCCTGCATTCCATTATCGCACCCCCCTGTATCTCTTACCCGTTATCTCTTCCATCTCCCCTGGCATGGCATGGCATGGCATGGCATGCGATAACATCCCTTGAGCAGGGAATTCGTTCTGCCAAAAGTGTTTGGACACCGCACTGGCTCACTCCGACGCCTGCCCCATGTGTGAGTCAACGCTAGTCAACGCGAGTCAATTCATGCTCCTAGTGTGAGAGCAGAGCACCTGGAGCACCCATGTATTCCCCAAAGCTTCAATGCACACTGCCAACACCTCTTTTCCCAGCACAGCTCGACCAGCATTTACTGAAACTATACCCCACATCTTCCATTCCAAAGCCTTGCATCATCGCCTTTCCTCTCCTCTCAAATTCTCATTCTCCCGTCTCATCTCCTCCACCTTCCCATCCCGTCCCCCCGCTCCCCTCCTCTGTACGCAGGTCGGGCGCCGTTGATCGGGGGCATTGATCAGGTCTTCCCCAACCGAGCCCTGGCGCAGCTTGTTGAGCAAGCAAGGTCGCCCGCCCCTCCCACCTCTTCTACTTCCCTTCTCCACCCCTCTCCACCCCTCGCGACCCCTCTCCACACCTCTCCTCATGCACGTTCTCTCTGCTGTTGTCAAAATCCCCCGTCCCATTTGTTTTTTGGTTTGTTTGTTTTTCTTGCTCCTTCCTCCTCCCCTGCAATTCATTTCAACCTGAGCTTTGCCCCGTGTTCCTTTTCACGTTTCATGGCAGGATCATAGGAGTGACACGTCAGCAACGGCTGGCCACGTCAGCAGTCACTCCTGCGCTTCCTGCCAGCCATGTCACGGACACATCAGCATCACACGATTGCTCACAAGCACAAGCCCAGAGGGATACAAATGCGCATGTACAGGCGCAGGCAGAGGCACATGCGCAGAGCAGTGCCGGTGCGCGAGTGAACACCCATGGCCCCTCACCCTCACACGCGAATCTAGCTCGAGAAACATCTGCGCACACTCATGCTCCTGTTGCTGCTGCTTCTGGTGCCGGTGGCGGTGGCTATGGCTTCAGCAGTGCCAGCAGTTGTACTTTCAGCAGCGGCGGCAGCAGCAACAGCAGACTAGTGTTAGTACTAGGTCCGTTAGCTTCACATCTAGCCCACTCCGCCACAGCAGGTGTCACTGCCAGCTCCCCTTCCCCACACCCTCACTCTCCCCAACCACCCTCTGTCAGTGCACCCACAGCAGGCGTGAGACAGGACCACACTGCCATTTCCATCCCTGACTGCGCTCCTTCTCAACTCACCTCATCCACTGCGCTCTTACTTCGGAGCGTGCAGCTGCAGCCGAACTTGCAGCAGAATCTAGCACAGGGCCAAGCCAGTCCGCAGCGGGAAGAGGATTCGGCAGGCGCCGAGCACTCCGGGGTGGATTCGATTCTGCCGGACCTAGTAGTGCGGCTTAGTGGCTTTGGTGCAACCGCAGATAGGCAGAGCGCTCCACAGCATCAACCGGGCCAGCAGCAGCAGCAGCACCACCACCACCACCACCACCACCAGCAGCAATGGCAAGAGTCTTTAGCACAGCCCCCACAGATACTGACACAAGAGCACCGGCACCAGCAACGGCAGCAACACAGGCAGCACCGACACCAGCAGCAGCAGCAGCAGCAACAACAACAACAACAACAACAACAGGATACATCAGCTGCAGCAGGGGCGCTGCTGCTGCCCATCGCCCTACGCCCTGGCAGTGCGTGGCTTCCTGGCGTGTGGCAGCAGCGGGCGCCGCATGCTGCTGCTGTTTGCGCGTGCACGGCGCTGGTTCCTTGTCAACGAGCCTCGCATACGCTTCTCGCTCTTCCTCACTGTTTCTGCTCTCCTTGTCTTCTACCTGCGCGTGAGTGCCCTCCTCGTCTGCCTCACATATGGTTTGAAATCACAGTATGAGTGTGTTGCTTCTCGCCCTGCCTTGCTGGTTCCTGGTGAACGAGCCGCACATACGCTTCACACTCTTCCTTGACGCCTCCGCCCTGCTTGTCTTCTACCTGCGCGTGAGTGGCTTGATTCGAGAACACCCGCAATGCAGCCATGTGCACGGTGTGCTTTTGATTCGCTTTTCGTTGTGCTCTTTGAGAGATCGTAGCTTCGCAACACGAGTTCCCTTTCTCCCCATCTTCTACCTGCACGTGCGTGCTCTCCGTTGAGAGATCATAGCCTCTCCGTTGAGATATCATAGCATTTCCGTTGAGAGTACATGCAAACATGTGCGCAATGCGCTCATACCCTTCTCCTTCTGTCCCGTTCCCGGATATTGGATGCAATTGTACAGGTGCAAGAGGAAGAGTACGCAAGAGTGACCCGGTACCCTTGAAACAAGCTAGTGTGAACAAGCATGACGGTAGCCAATCATCAACACTGTTTCTGATGCTGGTGGTGCAGGCTGGTGTGGTCCCTGACGTGCCGGGTGATTGCACTCTTTACCGTAGTGTACAGTTTTACGATCAATCTTTTTATTTTGATTATGTTAATGGAAGATTGCAATAATCACACTAACTCCAGCGTCACACGGTGTTGCGAGGATGAAGACAACTGTGCTCTTGCCAGCGACAGGCATTGATTCCAACAACCATTGATGCTCAAAGAAAATGATTGCTGCATGATTTCGCCTACTGCAGCATGGAGAGAACCACTATGAACGGCTAAGAGTGTTGTGCTGCTTCCAGCAGCAGGATGAGTTATGGTACAAGCACAGGAGGGGAACAAAAGCTCAGAACAAAGCACCATCGGCCGACGCCATTTCGGGTCAGGCGGGGTCAGGACTCAGGATTCAGTCAGGTTCAGTCAGATTCAGTCAGGACGCAGGAATCAGGAAGGGAACTCCTGTTTCCAGAGCTGTTTCCACATGGTGGGGTGGGTATGTAGGTAGAGTTACTGTACTACGGTACTACCCAATATAGCACTCCTCAAAACTATTACGGTACTCCAGCCCAGGTAACTAGCTAACCCCATCATCCTTTCTTACTTGGCAAGAGAGAGTGCGGCAAGGTGAGAGAGAGAAAAAGTCAGCAGGGACAATCACAGCCATGAATCCTCCAACCTGCCCCTTCCCTTCCATCCACTGCTTGTGCAATGGCGGCAGGGCAGCAGCACGGCTTGCTGGTCCCGTGACCCGTGACCCGTCCACTGCTGGTGCCTGTAAGCTCATCACTGCACTGCATGGCATGCACTCACGATGTCATATGATAACGGGGCCCTGACCAGGCGAACAGGAGGCACGCACGCACAGGGCCACGGTCCGCACAGGAAAGGTCCTGCCATCCCATGCTGACCCTGCTGTTGAGGCGTCTCAATATGCAGATCCGGTTCTCTCCCACAGGAAACCTGCTCTTTGAAGAGGGCACTGCACTGCTCTCCTCCCCACTCCCCTTCACCTCTGCAATGCCTCCATCCCATTCCACCCAATGTGAAGTACGCCGCACAGCAGTCACCAAGACTTACACACTAATGGGATCTCCCAGTAAGTACCAACCACATCGCCGATCTTTAGATGCCAGCTCGGCTACCAGCCCCGCCAGCTCAGCTGCCAGCCCCGCCAGCTCAGCTACTAGCCCGTCTCCGAAACACTATGTACTCTGCTCCTATGCCCTCCTTCACCTCCTGATACGCTGGCGGGGACTGCGCCCCGTAAAACGCCGCAACCAGCGGCCGTGCCGCAGACGCGGGGGCGGAAGGGGAGGCATCGGCAGGGAGTGTGAGCGTGAGGATTTCCGGGCGAGAGTCGAAGGCAACGAGGCGAGGGCCGGCGAGTAACCACATGGAGTCGTGGGGGGCGTGTAGGTTGAGAAGGACTCGCGCGTTGCCCTCCATGTTGATTCGGACCAGGTCGAAGCGACGCAGGCCGAGGAACTGGAGCAGGAAGGAGCCTGACAGGCCTGTTACTGCTGCTGCTGAAGACGCGTTGAGGAGTGAACCCGCCTGGGAGGGTGGGGGGTGGAGGGGAGTAGAACAGGGTGAGAGGGGTGAGAAGGGATGAAGATGGTATGAGAGGAGGGAGCTTGAGTGGCTGGTGACTGCTGCTGCTGAGGATGCATTGAGGGAGTGAACTCGCCTGGGAGGGGAGGGGTTTGAAAAGGGAAAGAGATGGGTGGAGAGGGGTGGGAAGGGAGGGGTGAAGACGGAATAGAGGAGGGAGCGTGACAGGCCAGTGCCTGGTGCGGGATAACCTTTGAGTCGACTCAAAAGTCACCTCGTGACAGGCCGGTGCCTGGTGCAGGATAAGGAACGAGTCCGCATGGGAGGGTGGGGGGTGAGGAAGAGAGGGGAGATGGGTAGGGACGGGTGAAGATGTTAACGGGAGGGAGACGGGTGGAGGGGGGGAGGCTGGATTGGATGGTGACTGCTGCTGGGAAGGGCGGGTTGCAGAGTGGGCTTACTTGGAAAAGTGGAGTGGTTGGTCTGGAAGAGTAGAGCAGTGACAGGAGAAGAGGGGTGAAAATGGGGTATGGGACGGGAAAGAGAAAGAAAACAGGCATATATCTTATACCCCAGAAATTGCCACGCGTGCAGAACCTTCACCAATTTATCACCCCTTAAGCACCCGCACCCCAACCGTACAATATCCATCAACCATTGGTCGGCACTTATCCCCACCCCCTCATAATTTACCCTTCCAAAGTTTCCAACCCTTCCCCCTCCCCTCAAATACGGAGCACTTACAGCATTCTATTTCACTCTAATGAACCTGACCCTTACCCCATCCACCTGGTCACATGCGATCACAGCCCCTGCTCTGTGCACAATGGCGTTTCCCCCACTCCTTCAGAACCCAACCTTCACTTCACCCTTCCCCTCCTTAGCACTCACAGCGTTCTGTTCCACTTCAATGAATCTCGCCCGGCCCCCATCCACCTGCAGCACCAGGCTGGTCACGTGCGACCACAGCGCTGCTCTGAGTGCAATGGCGTTGTCATAGGGCGCGGTGTTGAGGGAGAGAGCGCGGAACCCGGATTCTGAGGCTTCTGTGGTTACCAGCACTGCTGTGGGATACCTGGAGAGTGCAGGACGGAAGTGCGGGGAGGAAGAGGGGAAGTGAGGGAGGGGGATTAGAGCACCCCTGTGAGCGTGATGGCATTGTCGTAAGGAGGAGCTTGAGGGAGAGAGCGCGGAACCCGGAATTACCAGCACTGCTGTAGAGTTCCTGGTGAGCGCGAGGGGGGCGGGGGGGACGAGGACGGGCGGGATGGGGGAAGGGCAATGGAAGGGACCGGAAGGGAGTGAAAAAGAGGGCAAGGATGGTTATGGCGTGGTGCTGGAATCAGGTTTGGGATGGACAGTGGGAGAAAAGCGAGAAGAACAAGAGGAGTGAGAAAACCGGATTGGAAGGTTGGGGAGCAGTGTGCATCGATGATAAGAAAGGGAAAAGGGAAGCAGCGGCAGTAGCAGGGGCCATGTAAACGCATACAGGCAGCAGCTGCAGGGGGGTATCTTTGACCTTACAAGCATGCGAAGCGAAGAGTCTTTTATTGAGGCTCCTCAAAAACAGCAGCTGCAGGGGGGTAGCTTTGGCCTTACAACTTACAAGCATGCGAAGCAAAGGGCACTGGGAGCACGTACATGCATGCGAGGAGAACAGAGAGAATGCCGGCACCGGCCTCGGCATCCAGCACAGTGCGCACGCCTATATCTGGCTGTAGCACCAGCAGGGGGCCCCCGCTGCACAGCTGAACCCGTTCGGTACTACCGTTGAGACTTACATGCACGCAAGGAGCACGGAGAGAATGCCGGCACCGGCCCCCGCATCCAGCACAGTGCGCACGCCCAGATCCGGCTGTAGCACCGGCAGGGGGTCCCCGTCGTACAGCCGGTGCAGCGTGGCTAGATCTGGGACCAGATGCGGTGGGGACAGGGCGAGGGGAGGGAAGGATGGGGGAGGAGGGGTTTTGGGATGACTCAAGTGGTACAGTGCGCACCCCCGGTCTGGCTGTAGCACCGGCAGGGGGTCTCCATCGTACAGCCGGTGCAGCGTGGCTAGATCTGGGACAGGCGGGGTGGGGGCGGGGCGAGGGGACGCGCGGAGGAGGGAAGGATGGGGGAGGAGAGGGTTTTGGGATGACTCAAGTAATACAGTGCGCACGCCAATGTGGCTGTAGCACCGGCAGGGGTCTCCATCGTACAACCGGTGCAGCGTGGCTAGATCTGCCGCCTTGGGGAAGAGACAGGGCGGGGTGAGAGCAGGGCGAGAGGGCGAGGAGAGGAGGATGACAGGGGGAGAGGGAAAGGGTTTTGGGAGCGGGTGAGGGAGACAAGTGGCAGGGGGTGCTTGTCATATAACGGGTGCAGCATAGCTAGATCTGCGTCCGTGGGGAAGAGACAGGGCGGGGTAAGGAGGAGAATCTGTCAGGTAATGACACAGGTAATGCACCTCATCACTGTCCCTCTCGCACTCCCACTCCTCACCCACTGCTCACCCCTCCTTCCCCTCTCCTCCTCCCCCAACTTCCCCCCGCTTACCCCTCCCCCGGTTCCCTCCTTCCTGGCTGTCCCCTCCCACTACCTGGCTCTGATTGCTTCAGAATGTTTTTTGAGAATTCTCAAATGGCTCCTCTACCTGCCATCTCAAAAACACTCTACACTTCCTGCCTCTGATCCCTTCAGTCTTATTTTGTGGCACCTTATGGGATAATGCTCATACCTAACCGACTCGTACGGCTCAGACTGTTGCTGAGATGTCTTCAAGAACGGTGAATGGGATGGTGTGACGGCATGGCATGTGGGGTGATGGTTGGGATGGTGTGATGGCATGGCATGTGGGGTGATGGTTGGGATGGTGTGATGGCATGGTACGTGGGATGGGTGGGATGGTGTGTGAGATGACAATGTGTGTGCACGCACCTGACTCTGATCGTCTCAGGTGGAAGGCATGGATGCATGGCCGTGCCTTGGAGCACTGCAGCACCTCCCGGTATGAGCATGCCATCACACACACCAGCGCCTCTCCGCCTCCCCCCTCCCCCCCCGCCTCCCCCCTCTCCCCCGCCAGCTCCGCCATCCCAGCCCTCCGCCCCAGGCCATTCTTGGCCCCCCTCCCACCCCCGCTCCCACTCCCCTCCCCACTCTCTCTCTTTCTCCCTCAACCCCCTCCGCCTCCGCTCCTCCCCTCTCCTCTCCTCCCACTCTCCCGCTCCTCTCCCCCGCGTCTCCGCGCGCCCCTCCTCCGCTTCCCCCCCGCCCCCCTCCCGCAGCACCTCGTATCTTAGAAACTCCCACGTCATCCACACGCCCGCGTAGAAGTACCGCGCTTCCCCCGCTCCGCAGCTATGCGGGCGCGCCAGCGCCGCGCGCACCTCCGCCTCCGCGTACTGGCACACGCGCGCGGGGCCCCTGTGCCCCATGCGCTCCACCCACGCTCTCCGCGGGGGGGCGCTGCGGCGCGCGGGCTGAGAGAAGGTGGACACGAGGGGGTACACCTGCTGGGGGAAGCGGGATGGGAGCGGGGGAAAGGGGGGGGAATGGGGAATAAAAGGGGGTGGGGTGGGGGGATGAGTGGTGACGGAGGAGGAGCGGCTAAGGTTGCCAATCACGCGTGCAGAGCAGACACTCTGTTTACGTTTTGTTTGCTGAGGTTTTCGAATGAAACGACAGTTCTCCTCCGTTTTGGCGATCTGGATCAAAGCACATGACCGTTGGATAGACATAGAGTCAACGCAGTCAGCCAGAGCATCCCGCTTGACAAGCAGTCTGATAAGCAGCCTGATAAGCAGAGTGATCAGCAGCCTTAAGAGAAGGTTGACAACCATCCATCCACCCAAATCCCTTCAAGCTGTCCCCACGCTTTGCGACGTGGAACGTACGGCTGCGATGTGATCTTCGTACAGCGTCGCCACTCTCTGCTGCTCGCGCACGTGCGCCTCGATCATCCGCCGCACCGTGCTGTCCTGGCTGACGTCACGAATCCACGTCACGAAGCTGCACCCCAGGAAGACGGCTATTAACGCGGACGCCGCCACCACTCCGACGCTGCAGCGCGGCGATCGCGCGGGATCGCGAGACATCATGACGCTGCCGTTGCTCCCGCCGAAACGAACTACGAAATTAACGCACCGATTCTTTCGAATTTAGACTGGCCTTGATTGACGATCGGACGGACTAGGACGCACTTATGGAAGGATGGACGGATGGATCGATGGAAGGATGGTGGACGGACAGATGGACGGATGGACGAACGACAGGACGACGCGGGAATTACTCCGATTGGACGGCAATCATCCGTCGCAAGCACACCTCGAATCGCATTTAGTCAAATCAGAGTTTTAAGACTCGCGTTTGACAAATGCAGCGACGCTTATCTGTCATTGGGAAATCGTTATCGGAATTGCGAGCACTGAAGATCCTTCTGACGTGGCAAAACAGGAAGCGTTTTCTAAAGCACCCGGCGGACACGAGATTAATTCAGCGAGTGATTATAATCAACAGCTCGCTCTCAAAGTTTCGACATTGAAAGGATCGTTTCAAGTGCCTGGAATAGTCCACTGATAGTTATCGTACTAAGCCGAACGGGCCTCATCGCAGTATTCGCGGAACTTCAGTGGAGCAAAGGACTAGAGCCATTTCGAAGCACCTCGGGCATCCGGTCCGTCGGTTGGCTCAGACGGATCGACCCGAACCTGCTACTTATAAAGCTCAGGATCGGGACAAACAGGGAGGCGTACTATAGCAATGGCTGCGACTAGCCATGGCGAACGTTGACTGCGAAGTCAACTTCGCTTGTGTGCTAGCGTTGCCTTGGATGTCTGGCTGTCCGTCGCCTCGCTACACCATACATGTCCCCGCTGCGCTCACTTGTAATTTTAACAGTTCGGTGCGCTTTGTTACGATTCAAAACATTTTAATAGGCTTTTGGTGGGAAGACAGCCTCATAACACTCCCTGCGTCGGAATGCCCAGCAAAGACATCAAGATCGCGGGAGTGATTCCTTCCCCAATAATAACTCATAGGGGGATCTCGGCCCGTACCCAGGTCCTACAGATCTGTGGGTTCCCCGCCGCACCACATGACCTGCAGGGAATTTCTGAAAATTGTGTCCAAATACCCCGACGAAACACCACACAAGATCAGACCAGTTCTCTAAGTTCTTAGTAATTCGAATAGGCTGTTCATTATACTGCACTGAGGAACAGAAGTAGCACCGCTCCTCTGCAATATGGAGTTCAAACAACCACAGCTCCGCCAGATTTTCTAGTGGGAGACATATTTTGTTGAATTTCAGCAGTCAGGTTACTAGCGGTTCTGAAACGTAGATGCCACACACTGCGTAGATACTGTCAGGTTTCCAGAAAAACACTACACCATCAAAGCACCTCGGCTTTTTTCTATCAGAGTTACCCTTTCCCTGATCCCACGTCTGTCAGGGCTCTTGTTCCCTAGGCCCGTTCTACCTCGAGTTTACCGCCAAGCACTGGGAACATACCGCACTGTCCATGTCCTAGAATCTCCTCGTCTAGTCTCCTCTCGAGAGGCAGCATCGCTGCCGCTACCGAGTAAATATATTTCTATCCCGCTGTGTCACTTCCAGTCCGAGCTAAGCGTTACGCGCGCTTGCCTTAAGGACGGACGGGGCCCTAGGATTCGTGCACGATTCGTGAAATTTGTTTTCCGTTGTGCTCGTTTCGTCTCATGAGATCCTTTAGAAACCAAGCATGGTAATCGCATCATGACATCTGCAAGCCATGGCTTCCTCTCGTGCGGGTAACAGGCCCTGTTCAAATAGACCTAATCCGTTAGATTCGCATTTTAGCTTCTGCGGCTGCTCAGGCCCCTACCAACTATCTCCACTACTAGTAGTACGCGCTGCCGACACGTAGTCAAAGTAGCGAAATCTCGGGTCGACTTGAACATCACATGCACTCCCCCCGGCATTCCCACTTCCACATCCCACTTAGATCACCACCTGATGAGTCCCCCCGTTAGGAGCGCTCGAGGACCAGCCGTCCGCTGCGTACGGCAATAGCTGTGCTGCAATACGATGTGATAGAAATGAGCGGCGGGAGCGTCGGAAGCCAGGCGCTGCGTCGAATCGGCAGCGGCACGAGCTTCCCGAGCCATGGCGTCCCGTCGGGAGCATCCTCCACCACCGTCGCCGCGTCGTCTTCCGCAATCTCCGGATTTCCTTCCGCTCCCTCGCTTACTCCCCCATCGATCTCCTCGCGCTCCGCCGTTTACTTTCCCCCGCACCGCACGCAGCTCCCCCCGCGCTACGCCTACGCTTCGTCCGCATCCGCCGCGTCCGGCCGGCCGCGCAAGGCCCGCGCGATACTCTGCTTCATCCTTCTCGCAACCACCTTCGTCCTCCTCTTCTCCTCCGCGCTCTACGCGCCGTTCGCGCTCTCCCTCTCCTCCTCCCCGTCCTCCTCATCCGCCCTGTCTGTCTCCAGCGGCCGCGCTTTGGGAACTATTTCCCGCTCCTACTCCATCATAATCGACGCGGGAAGCACCGGGTCGCGCGTCCACGTGTACTCGTACACGCGGCTCGCGGATCCGTCCGCGCTTCCGCTCGTCGACCCGCACGCGCCGACTCTTAAGATCCGCCCGGGGCTCTCGTCGTTCGCTGCGGACCCGACCGCAGCCGGCGGGTCGCTTGTGGGTCTTATGGACTTCGCGAAAACCAAGGTAAGGACGTCTTTAATCGCCTCGGAGTGGGTCAGGAGCGGGAGATTTTAACGGTGCTGCGAGGCGCGGGCTTTCCAACGTTTCCATCCCATGAGCAGGCAATGATGGCGACAAGTGAATGTGTCGCGAACGCGTTAGGCCCTGCCAGCCTCGCTTCTCGTTCGTCCCTCTTCGTCCGCTGCCATCTCTTCCGCTCCCGACTGATTCTCTATTCAACCCCCACCCTCCCGTCTTCGCTCGCCCGCGTCACCATCTCTCCCTGCCCCTGGACCCCCCAACCCTTCCTCTCACTCCCCCCCCACCCCCCAACCCCGTCTTCCCTCCCCCACCCCGTGACCCTTCCGCGTTTGGTCTTCCCCCACCCCGTGACCCTCCCCCCAATCCTCTCCCCTGCCAGGTCCCCCGCGCGCTGTGGTCCGCCACGCCCGTGCGCCTGATGGCGACGGCGGGGCTGCGCCGCCTGCCCGCGAGCGGCGCGCGCAGGATACTGCAGTCGTGCGCGGAGGTGCTGGGCGCGTCGGGATTCGCGTTCGACCCGGACGATGGCGCTACCGTCATTGCAGGTGGGGGAGGAAGGGGGGGGAAGTCGGGGAACGGGTTGATTCTTGAGGCCCCTCCAAAATCGGAAGTGCTGGGGGCGTCGGGATTCGCGTTCGACCCGGAGGATGGCGCTAACGTCATTGCAGGTGGGGGAAGAAGGGGGAAGGGAAATGGGAGAAAAGGGGGGACGGGGGATAAAGGGGGAGGGGAACGGGGGAACGGGGGAAAAGATAAGTGGAAAAAAGGGGGAGCGGGGGAAGGGGAAGAGGGGAGGAAGAATGTGCAGGATATGTGTAGATTGGGTTAAAGAGAAAAGGGAAGTGTGTTGTGACGTGATAGGTATGGGCGCTTGATTTGACTAGCATGCAATAGCGGGAAAGGGGGCCTCTAGAGAAGGGAAGCGGGCAGGAGATAGAGGCAGTAGTGATTTAAGTCTTGTGATTGGAGAAATGACGAAATGGCATGCTTCTGAGCTGGAGGTGCAGTGGGCGTGGTGGGATAATGGGGTAATGCAGCAGGTAGCATCTCCAGAAGGGGGAGAAGGGGGAGATGGGGGTATGAAGGGATGAGCGAATGGGAAGGTGCTATGGAAACGACGGGGATGGGTGGGGAGAGTGTCACTGTGCGTTGAATCTGGACAAAGTCGTGCTGTGGGAGGGATGGATGGAGGGAGGGAGGGAGGGAGGGAGGGAGGGAGGGAGGGAGGGAGGGAGGGAGGGAGGGAGGGAGGGAGGGAGGGAGGGAGGGAGGGAGGGAAGGTGGGAGGGAGGGAGGGAGGGAGGAGGGAGGGAGGAGGGAGGGAGGAGGGAGGCTGTATGTGTGGGCATTCCCATCCCACACCCTCATTCCCATTTCACACCCGCATTCCCATCCCACACCCGCATTCCCATCCCACACCCGCATTCCCATCCCACACCCTCATTCCCATCCCACACCCTCATTCCCATCCACTGCCCACAAATATACCCTCCCAATCCTTCCCCCATCCCCCCTGCAGGCGTGTGGGAGGGCGTGTACGCGTGGGTGGCGGCGAATTATGCCAAGGGTGTTGAAAAGCTAGAAGAGATACATTGAATAATGAGCCAAGAGGCCCTTTAGTACAAACAATGAGCAAGAGAGAGATGAAAGGGAAGCTTACCCTATTGGCCAATAAGTTGGCCAATGGGTGAGCTTGCTTGTGACCCAAGCAACCACAAATGTGTGTTGGTTGGGATTGGTTGAGCTAGGGACCAATCCCAACCAACCACAAAATGTGGTTGGAGGGTACACTAAACAACCCCCAATTTATAAGTGTACTACAGATCTAATTCTAGCCTATGTATGTTGTACAAATTATGAAATTACAACACAACCCCCCAACATGCATAAGGCTAGAAGGCTAGAATCAAGAGGCGGGAGGCGACTTAGGAGGAGTGAGGCCAAGAAGACGAAGTAGGAAAGAGTGAGCGACATGAGGAAGAGCTTTTGTGAAGATGTCGGCAAGGTTGGCCGCCGAGTCAACCTTGTCGAGCCGAAGGTGCCCCGCCTGAACAAGATCGCGAATGAAGAAATGACGGAGCTCAATGTGCTTGGAACGCCCGTGAAACACGGCATCTTTGGTGAGGTGAATGGTACTGGCATTGTCACACCAAATGGTGGGACAGCGCTGGGGGGCACCAAGTTCCTCAAGGAGGAAGGTGAGCCAGCGGGCCTCTTGCGCAGCCATGGTGGCGGCATACAACTCCGCCTCGCAGGAGGAGAGGGCGACAGCCGAGGAGCGGGTGGAGCGCCAGCTGATAAGGCCGCTGCCAAGAGAGAAGCCATAGCCCTGGGAGGAGCGACGATCTGGCTGGGAATCAGCCCAGGAGGAGTCACTGTAGCCGCTGAGGGTAGGTGGGGAGGGGCCGCCGAGGGTAAGGACATAGTCCTTGGTGCCACGAAGGTACCGGAGGACACGCTTGGCGGCCTGCCAGTGCTCTTCCGTATGCTTGCCTGCGCCAACAAAACGAGCGAGGACGCTGATGGGGTAGGCAAGGTCAGGGCGAGTGGAGACCATGGCGTACATGAGGGAGCCGATGAGCTCGGGATAAGGATGGGAGGAGGCTGAGGGGGAGGTGGGTGGAGAGAGGTGGTGCCCGACAGAAAGAGGAGTAGGTTGGGCGCCGCCGCGGACCATGTCAAACCGCTCCAAGACCTGCTGCAAGTAATGACCCTGGGAGAGAGAGATGGTGCGGGCGGAGCGATCGCGGGTGATTGTCATGCCCAGGTAATGCTGCAATTCGCCCAAGTCCTTGCACTTGAGACGGCTGCCCAACTCAGCCTTAACACGCTCCAACTCGCTGAGGTCGGCAGTGAGTAGAATCATGTCATCGACATAGACAAGGATGTAGAAGGGGGAGGGGGAGGCGCGGAGGAAGAGGCTGGCGTCAGAACGGGAGGTGCGGAATCCAAGTTCAGCAAGGGTGGCGGCAAGCTTAGCATGCCACTCCCTCGGGGCCTGTCGGAGCCCATACACAGGGCGACGCAGCTGCCAGACAGAGTCCGCAGGGAAGGGAAGGTGAAAACCGGCAGGACGCTCCATGTAGATAAGCTCGCGGAGGACGCCTTGGAGGAAGGCGTTAGAGACGTCCATCGAGTGGATCTCCATATTGAGGCGAGCGGCGAGGTCGAGCACGGCGCGAACAGTAGCGGGCTTGGCAGTGGGGGAGAAGGTATCGAAGAAGTCAAAACCATACCGCTGCGTGAACCCCTTGGCGCAGTAACGAGCCTTGTAGACGGGCGGCTCCCCTGGCAGTTGTTTGACGCGAAACACCCACTTCCCCTTCACCACGTTCGTAGAGGAGGGAGGGCGAGGCACATCAACAAAGGAGGAGTTGGCGACAAAGGCCTCCAGCTCCTTGATAATGGCGGCGAGCCAGAGTGGGGCGTCGGGGCAAGCCATGGCCTCCTCATACGTGGTAGGGATGAAAACGGAGGGAGCAGAGGAGAATGCGAAGACAGGTGTCCCAGAAAGGTCGAAGGTGATGGGTAGAAGGGAAGGGTCACAGAGGTGGAGGTCAAGGAACTCCTCATGGGAGTCCTCAGAGAGGGAGGTGTGGAAGGAGCGGATGACCGTTGGTGCCGCTGGTGCTGCTGCACGTGCCGCTGCTGGTGCCGCTGCTGGTGCCGCTGCTGGTGCCGCTGCTGGTCCTGCTGCTGGTGCCGCTGCTGGTCCTGCTGCTGGTGCCGCTGCTGGTGCCGCTGCTGGTGCCGCTGCTGGTGCCGCCGCTGGTCCTGCTGCTGGTACCGCTGCTGGTCCTGCTGCTGGTGCCGCTGCTGGTCCTGCTGCTGGTGCCGCTGCTGGTCGTGCTGCTGGTGCTGCTGCTGGCGCCGCTGCTGGAGAGGTGGCGGCGGGGGCTGCTGCAGGGGGAGGTTGATGCAGAACAGCCTGGAAGAAGTGGTGAAAGAGAGGGGAGAGTGGGGGGAGGGTAGAGGTAGAGAGGGTAACAGGGGGCGGTGCACCAAGGATACTGTCTTGTGACCTGGTATGGGGATACCGGGTTAGTACAGTGCGAGGAGGGGGGAAGGACGAGTCGGCAGCGAGGGAGGTGAAGGAGGGGCGGGAGGGGCACTAGGAGAGGAATGTGTGGGGGAGACGGGAGAGGACAGAGGTTCCGGGTCAAATATATCACCAGACAAGGGAGGGGCACCGTGGGACGAGGACGACGGTGGGGGAGGGGGAGGGAGGATGGGGGGAGGAGGAAGTAGAGGGGGAGGGGTGGTGTCAGACCAGACAAGGGGACGAGGAAGACGGGGGAGTGGGTCAGTGGATGGGGGAGAGGAGTAGTAAGGAGCGGACTCATCAAAGACCACATCCCTACTGCGGAATAGACGACCTGAGGGGGGATGGAGGAAAAGGTAGTCAGGTGAGGAGGAGTTATGACCAAGAAAGATGCAGGGAAGGGTACGAGGGGCAAGCTTTCCCATAGAACGGGAGCGGTCAGCGGGGTGAAGAAGGACATAAGCCTTTGAGCCCCAGACACGAAGAGATGAGACATCAGGCTTGTTGTTCGTCCACAGCTCAGTGGGGGTGGTGGATGGGAGAAGAGGGTGAGGGTAAAGGTTAGTAAGCAGGGCGGCATGAAGGAGGGCGTAGCCCCACAGAGAAGGAGGGCAGGAGGCGTGGACAAGGAGACACCGGGCAGTTTTGGTGATCTCTCGAACACGACTTTCAGCCACACCGTTCTGCTGTGGGGAGTGAGGGAGGGTGTAAGTCTGAAGAATGCCATGAGACTGGCAATAGGAGGATATTTGGTTGTTAAGGAACTCACCACCACCATCAGAGTGAAGGCGGCGAACAGGGCGCCCAAAATGGGTGTTTGCTCGCTCGAGCCAGGCGATGATCGCAGCCGGGGCATCTGCCTTCGTCCGAAGGAGAGAGACGGACGAGTACCGACTGTGATCATCGACGAGTACGAGGAGGTATCGATGGCCCTGGCGAGTGGGAGAGGGATTGGGGCCCCAGAGGTCCATGTGAACAAGATCAAGTGGCTGAGCAGCAGCGGAGGGGGAGCTCCGGTGCGGCTGCTGCTTGAGCTTGCTCTGAACGCAGACGGTGCAGGGGGGGGCAGGGGATTTGGGGAGAGGAGGGAGGGAGGAGGGGAGACCATGGAGGAGACCGGAGGAAACAGAGGAGCGTAGAGTAGCGAAGTTAGGGTGACCTAGCCTGTGATGGAGGAGGACGGCAGGGTGGGAGAGGGAGCGACAGGAGCAAGAGGAGTCAGGGGGGGGGCGTGAAGGGAGGTCCGGGTTAGTGGGAGGGAGAGGAGGGGGTGGGATGAGAGGGTGGAGGGGAGGACGAGAGATGACCTGACAGGAGGGGAGGCGAGGAACACGAAGGGTATACAGACGGGAGCGAGGGCAAAATGGAATGCGAGAAATGAACTGACCGGTGGCGGAATGGTAGAGAGCGCAATAGTTAGCATAAGCTGGGAATACTGTGGTGATACCGGCTTGTTGAAGGGACCTTTGCGAGAGGAGATTAGCGCGAAGAGAGGGTATGTGGAGACCGGTGACAGTGCCTGAGGGGAAGAGTGGGCAGGGGAGAGTCGAGGTGTTATGGCAGGGGATAGAGAAGCTGCTATCGGCGCCAAGGAGGGAGGTAGGCGTTGGGAGGGGGCGCAAGGTGCCAGCATCGCGAAGAACTGTGTCAGTGGCGCCGCTGTCAAGGACAAAGTCGACAGTGGAGGGGAGGGAGGAGGAAGGGACAGAGGACTGGAACGCAGTTTCTTTAGTGCTAGAGGAGTATGTGGCAGGGGCAGCTGATGTGGCTTGATTGACCATACCAGCAATACCAACGGATGAGAGAGGTGGGACATTGCTTGAAGTGGCGGAGCTTGTGGAACAATGCGGAACTGAGTTCTGCTGGGAAGTTGGGGGAGGAGGAGGAAGAGGCAGCTGCGCTTGTGCGCTAAGGTGCTGCTGCAGGCGGTGAAGCAACTGCTGGAGCTGGAGGAGGAGGTGCCAGAGCTGCTGGTGCTGCTGCTGCTGCTGCTGCTGCTGCTGCTGCTGCTGCTGGTGCTGCTGCTGCTGCTGCTGGTGCCGGTGCTGCTGCTGCTGCTGCTGCTGCCGCTGCCGCTGCCGCTGCCGCTGCCGCTGCTGCTGCTGCTGCTGCTGCTGCTGCTGCTGCTGCTGCTGCTGCTGCTGCTGCTGCTGCTGCTGCTGCTGCTGCTGCTGCTGCTGCTGCTGCCGAGGAGGAGGAGAGAAGGGTGGACTCGGGGCATGGTGGGCTTGGGTGGAGATTTTGCACTGAAGTCCCCGAGTCGGGCCATAGCGAGGCACATATTCACGAGGAGAGAAGGCTGCTGCTGCGCCGCAGCCTGCGCTCAAACCCCTGATACCACAATATCCTGCGAGTCTCCCTTGACCACCACCACAGCTACCACTATGCCCTCCTCCATGCCCACCGGCACCACTTCTGCTGCATGCCAGGGCGACTATTGCCATGGAGGGAGCAATGTGAGTGTGGGCGGTTACGGCATGGCGCAGGCGAGCAGGGCATGAAGGTGTGCGGTATGCGTTTGCAAATGTGCGGTATGCCGGGGAGGTGGGCAGGGGGCGGACGAGGGGACGGGGGACAGCGAGCGGGGAAGGAGGGCGTGCGACGAGTGCGCGGACGGGGAGGGCGCGGACGAGCAGGGCGCGCGGACGGGCAGGGCGCGGACGAGCAGAGCGCGCGGACGGGCAGGGCGCGGACGAGCAGGGCGTGCGGACGGGCAGGGCGCGGACGAGCAGGGCGTGCGGACGGGCAGGGCGCGGACGAGCAGGGCGTGCGGACGGGCAGGGCGCGGACGCGAAGGGCGGACGAGCAGGGCGCGCGGACGGGCACGGCGCGGACGAGCAGGGCGCGCGGACGGGCACGGCGCGGACGAGCAGGGCGTGCGGACGGGCAGGGCGCGGACGAGCAGGGCGTGCGGACGGGCAGGGCGCGGACGAGCAGGGCGTGCGGACGGGCAGGGCGCGGACGAGCAGGGCGTGCGGACGGGCAGGGCGCGGACGAGCAGAGATGGGCGCGAAATGGTCAGATTTCAGCGCGGGAGATGCAGATCTGGTCGCGCGGAGGGCAGATCTGGGCGCGCGGAGGGCAGATCTGGGCGCGCGGAGTGCAGATCTGGGTGCGAAATGTTCAGATCTGGGCGCGGGAGGAGGAGATCTGGTGGCGCGGAATCCAGATCTGGGCGCGGAATGATCAGATCTAGGCGCGGGAGGAGTAGATCTGGTCGCAGGGAGTACAGATCTGGGCGCTGGAGTTGCAGATCTGAGCGCGGGGAATGCAGATCTGGGCGCTGGAGTTGCAGATCTGAGCGCGGGGAATGCAGATCTGGGCGCTGGAGTTGCAGATCTGGACGTGCCTTGGAGGGCAGCGCCTTAGGGGGCGCACGGGGAGGGAGGACAGCGCCTTAAGGGTGCGTGAAGGGAGGGCAGCTCCGTGGGTGGGGCTAGATCTGAGGAACGGGGAGGAATAGATGTGAGCTCGGGAGGAGTAGATCTAAGCTCGGGAGGAGTAGATGTGAGCTCGGGAGGAGTAGATCTGAGCTCGGGAGGAGTAGATCTGAGCTCGGGAGGAGTAGATGTGAGCTCGGGAGGAGTAGATCTGAGCTCGGGAGGAGTAGATCTGAGCTCGGGAGGAGTAGATGTGAGCTCGGGAGGAGTAGATCTGAGCTCGGGGGGGATAGATCTGAGCTCGGGAGGAGTAGATGTGAGCTTGGGAGGAGTAGATCTGAGCTTGGGACGAGTAGATGTGAGCTCGGGAGGAGTAGATCGGAGCTCGAGAGGAGTAGATCTGAGCTTGGGAGCACCGTAGTAGGACTAGGTCTGAGGGACGGGGAGGAGAGGGTGGCCTTAGGATCGAGGGATTAAGGCGTGAGCCAATAGCTCATGATACCATGTTGAAAAGCTAGAAGAGATACATTGAATAATGAGCCAAGAGGCCCTTTAGTACAAACAATGAGCAAGAGAGAGATGAAAGGGAAGCTTACCCTATTGGCCAATAAGTTGGCCAATGGGTGAGCTTGCTTGTGACCCAAGCAACCACAAATGTGTGTTGGTTGGGATTGGTTGAGCTAGGGACCAATCCCAACCAACCACAAAATGTGGTTGGAGGGTACACTAAACAACCCCCAATTTATAAGTGTACTACAGATCTAATTCTAGCCTATGTATGTTGTACAAATTATGAAATTACAACAAAGGGCACCCATCTCGCCCTCTCCCTCCCATGCACTGCCCACAACCTGCACACTTCCCCCACCTCTCTCCTCCCTTTCACCCCCCCTGCAGGCGTGTGGGAGGGCGTGTACGCGTGGGTGGCGGCGAATTACGCCAAGGGCACCCATCTCGCCCTCTCCCTCCCATGCACTGCCCACAACCTGCACACTTCCCCCACCTCTCTCCTCCCTTTCACCCCCCCTGCAGGCGTGTGGGAGGGCGTGTACGCGTGGGTGGCCGCGAATTACGCCAAGGGCACCCTGGGGGGCGACGCGAGGGACTCCATTGGGGTCGTGGAGATGGGGGGCGCGTCCGCGCAGGTGATAGGGGAGAGGGCGTCGAGGGAATCGGGGAGGAGGGGAAGAGGGGGAAAGGGGGAGTGTCGACACAGGTGTTAGGCTGGGGCGGAAGGGAGCGGGAAAAGGGGAAAAGGGAGGGGGTAAAGAGGAGATGAGCGCAGGGTGGAAGGGGGAGGGGAGAAGAGGAGGAGATGGGGGGGGGAAGGGAAAAGGGGAAAGGAGAGATGGGGGGAATGACAACGGAATTGCGGAGGGATGGAGAGGGAGGAGGGGAGAGAGCTAGGAAGATGGAGAAGCAGTTAGAAGGGGGCGAGTGGGCTTTCGTGTTACAACTCCTCCCCATGCCTTTCTCTTGCTCCAGTCACTGGCCCCTCGCCTCCCTCTCGCCCCGCGCGACTAGACAAGCCAAGGCGCCTGGAAACACCTCTCACTTCCCCGTCTGACCCGCGCGCTTCTTCTCCCACCCCCATTTCCTCGCAGGTGACGTTCGTACCAGATGAGCCTCCCCCGGATGAGTACCGGCATGACATTACCTTGGCAGGCGTGCACTATGTGCTCTACTCCCACAGCTTCCTGCACTACGGCCAGGTGGGGGGGAGCGGTTCAAAGTAGGGTGGGTCGTAGGCTGTGGTACAGGAGCGAAGGTGCGGTGTGCCCTGGCTTGAGGGCACGACATTACCCTGGCTGGCGTGCACTATGTGCTCTACTCCCACAGCTTCCTGCACTACGGCCAGGTGTGTGGGTGGTGGTTCAAGTCGGGGTAGCGGTGGGTGGGTGGGTGGCTGTAGTGCCAGTCAGTTGCGACCTTGCAGCTTGCCTTGGCCGGCGTGCACTATGTGCTCTACTCCCACAGCTTCCTGCACTACGGCCAGGTGCGCTGGCATGTGCGTGTAGACTATGTGAGCTGCTGTTTATATTATGGATACATATATATATATATATATATATATATCACACACACACACACACACACACACACACACACACACACACACACACACACACACACACCCCCAACACACACCCAGTCTCTCTTCTCTCATCCATCTCCAGGGGCCACGTTGTAGAGCTGACTCAAGAATCAGCTCCCTCCTCCCTCACCTTCCCTCACCCCTCCCTCTTCCTTCCCATTCCTCCCCTCATCTCTATCCCTTGACGCGAGTGCAGGAGGCAGCAGAGGAGGCAGCAGAAACGCTTGTGGCTCTTGTGGCTGCACAGCAGCACCAGGCAGAGCCTTTAGAATCAGCTCCCTCTTCCCTCATCTTCTCCCACTCCTCCCTCTTTCCTTCCCCTTCCTGCCTGCCCTCGTCTCTCTCCCTTCATGCGAGTGCAGGAGGCAGCAGAGGAGGCTGCAGAAACGCTTGTGGCTCTTGTGGCTGCACAGCAGCAGCAGGCAGAGCACGCAGAACAGAGACAACAACAGCAGCAGCAGCTTCAGCTGGGGCAGCAGCAGCAGCATGCAAACACGTCGCGGCACACAGAACTGGTGGTGAAAGGACAAGGGCAAGTGCAAGGAAACAACACAGGGGCTGGAGGACGGGAAAGCAGAGAGGATGGGAAAGCAGGAGCGGGAGTGGTAGGGGGAAGAGAGGAGCAAGGAAATGCGGCTGGTGGCAAGGGTGTGGTGGTATCGGCACAGCCAGGTGGTTCAGCTGCTGCTGCTGCTGCTACAGCTGCTACTGCTGCTACAGGTGCTACTGTTGCTACAGGTGTAGCAGGTGCAGCAGCAGCAGAGGCAATACGTAGACTGGGATTGGAGATGCAGCTATGGCATGGCAACCCGTGCCGGCACCACCTGCTGCCGTTCCTCCTTGCTCAATCCCCCACCTCCAACCCCTCCTCTTCCTCTTCCGCAACAGCTGTTGAGGGAAAGTCCTCCCCAGTAGCAGCAGGAAAGGAGTTGGCAGTTTCCTCTCCACGTCTGCCCTTGCAACAACAACAACAACAACAACAACAACAAGAGCAGCAGCAGCAGGGGCATCATCGCCCGGCTAACTTCTCCCTCTGCAAACACCTGGCCACTCGCCTCTTCATTCATGGCCACCCAGGTGAGTTCCTTCTCAGGTGAATTCCTTCTCAGGTGAATTCATTCTCAGGTGAGTTCCTTCTCAGGTAAATTCCTTCTCAGGTGAGTTCCTTCTCAGGTAAATTCCTTCTCAGGTGAGTTCCTTCTCAGGTAAATTCCTTCTCAGGTAAATTTCCCCTCAGGTGAATCAATACTCGGGTTGATTCCTTTCCAGGCGAATCCGTGCTGTTGTTTAGGCGAATTCGTCACCCTTCCCTTCTTCCCGCTTATTCTGGCCTGTTCCCATCTCACCTGTCCAAACTCTTTTCTTCCCCCACCCACCCCTCCCCCTCTCCCTCCCGTTCCCCCCTCTCACCCGCAACCCCACACATACAGACACTCAGCACACCCCCCCTGCGCCCTGCCCGTACACGCGCTGCCCTTTTGCGGGGGGAGTGTTCGTGCCAGAACTTCGCGGGCAGTTCTTCGCAACTGAAAACTTCTTCTACACGTCTGAGGTGAGACATTGGGACGTTTTATTAAGTTGACAAAGAAACGTTTCCTTGCGACCGAAAACTTCGTCTACACATCTGAGGTGAGACATTGGCAGTGTGGTGTGATGTGGTGCAATGGGGAAGCAGAGGGGACTTGTCAGTCGACTCAAACGTCGACCTTTCTTTACACGTCTGAGGTGAGAGATAGGCAGTGTGGTGCGGTGCTGAGGGGGAGCAGAGGGAGAGTTGCTTCTCAGGAGACTGCACTGCACTGTGTCGTCTTTTGACGGGGTCGGACGGGTCATAAGGCACTGCACTCTCTCGTCTTTCCAGTGAAAGCTGCTTCTTTTGACGCGCACAGGAACTTGCACGCGCCCTTTTCCACTGAATGTTACTTCCATGTGGAGGTGAGGTGAGGTGAGGTGAGGTGAGGTGAGGTGAGGTGAGGTGAGGTGAGGTGAGGTGAGGTGAGGTGAGGTGAGGTGAGGTGAGGTGAGGTGAGGTGAGGTGAGGTGAGGTGAGGTGAGGTGAGGTGAGGTGAGGTGAGGTGAGGTGAGGTGAGGTGAGGTGAGGTGAGGTGAGGTGAGGTGAGGTGAGGTGAGGTGAGGTGAGGTGAGGTGAGGTGAGGTGAGGTGAGGTGAGGTGAGGGGTTGCGACCCCTTCCGACCCATTCCGGCCCGTTCCGACCTATTCCTTCATCTCCACTCAATCCTCCCCGTCAACCTTCTCTCACTCTCACTCCCACAGTTCCTGAAGCTCCCAGCAACAGCAACTCTGGCGGAGTTTGCGGCTGCAGGGACAAGGCACTGTGCCCAGGGCCTTCCCCCTCTGCCCTCTTCTGCTCGTGCCAAACACTCGCTGGGAGCACAAGGGGAGAGCGGGGGGGTGGCTCTGGGTGATGGTACACGGGGGGGTGGTGATGGTGCTGGGTCTGGTGCTGCTGCTGTGGGTGCCGCGGTTGCTGCAGCTGTAAAGTTGTCGCGAAAGGAGGGTTTGGGGATGAAAGGAGGAGCGGGGAGAAAGAGGGAAGGGAAACCGGGGGAGGGTAAAGGGGGAGGGGGGACGGGGGGTGGTGAGGAGGGGAGTGGGGTGGTGGTGAGCGAGGAGGAGGTGAAGGAGCATGGCAAGTACTGTTTCTCGGCGTCCTACATAGTGGCTTTCCTGCATGATGCTCTGGGGGTTTCCTTGCACGACACAAAGTGAGTAGCTGATTTGCTTATGAATGCCGGTTACATTCATATTCACACAATCACAGGAAATGCACATGAGGTAATGCACATGCATGCATAAATTCATCTGCACATTATCCCATGAGTGCAACCATCCGTTCGCTTATGTCCTTTCACCTACATGTCATCTCTTCACTATTCTTCTCCCCCCCCTCCTCCCTCTCTTCACTCTCCCCCTCTCTTCCCTGCCGCCCGCTTGCCCTCGTCCGCTCGCCCCCCTCCACCAATCAGGGTTCGCTTCACCAACCGAGTGGGACCGCATGACATAGACTGGGCGCTTGGTGCAATGCTCATGGATGTTATCACCCACCGCCCCTTTCCCTCGAAACCCGCCAATCAAGGCGAGGCGCGAACCAAAGCCTCCGATTCGTTACGAGCGGACGAGAGTATAGGAACCATCATGGTTCTGCTTCTGGTCACGGCTCTGTTCCTGGTGGTAATCACGTTGTTTGTAATAAGCACATACTTCCGGCCAATCCCCATCCCGACCACAATTTTTGACTTGGAGAAGGGCCGCTACTTCACAGCTAGTTCATTTGGGCAAGCAGGCATGGGTCCTGTTGGTGGAATGGGGAGGTCGTCTGTGTTAAGAAATGCACCTTAGGACAGAGTATTTTGAATGCTACACTTGAACAATTTATACATGATTTGAATTTTGTATTTAGAAGCAATAAATGGAACGGAAAACAGTCTGGTTTTGATGTACTGCACCTCATGATATTACACAACGTGAACTATCGAAACCCTATGTAGTTTGTAACTGTAGTTGTATTTGGAACACTGGGCTGTGCTATTTCAAACAACAGTTAGCCTCATTGAGGTGAACTACAACGGTGGCGGTTCGTTTCCTCTGATTGTGTCACATTCCAGAAAACATGTTCCCCCACAGGCGCGTCGCTGCCACCGTAGCGCTAGTCAGGCGCTCCGCAGCTACAGTAATGGATATCGCCGCTTGTGGTGGGCCAGCTTTTGCCAGTCTCCGCAAATCTGCGGCGCGCTGTGTTGCAAGGTTTGGTGGCATCAAGTCGTCTTGCCTCGGCTCGGCGCTGGTGTTGGTGGGAAAATTGGGTCAGTTGGGAAGCGGATGCCTGCGCTGTGCGGTGTGGCAAGCGCCAGTTTCAAGCAAGCGCCTTCACCATGATTTGCCGGCTAAACGGCCACGCGCAGAGCAATCCAAGCAAAACTTTTCGACTGCCTGCCCCTCGCGCCCTCTTCCCTCCTTTCCTTACCTCTGCCAGACCGAAATAGCCGATCCGCGTTGCCCGCGCTGCTCCGAAACTTTCGTCAAAAGTCGCATCGGGTTGTCGCGGGATCTTTCATCGGACTGCTCATTCGTCTTGTCAACCACACGCAGTCGCACACTTTATCTTCTTGTCGCACAGCCCCACAAATACCTCATTCGGATTTGGCGACAACAGTGTACCCCTCTCAATCCCAACTCTTCCGCTCAACTGCGTTTGCCCTCGGCTGTTCCCTCCTTGCTGCGCCTCTCATCTCATCTCAACCCTCTCGTCCTGCTCCCGAGTTCAGCTCTCCAGCTTCCCAACTGCTCCGCTTCTGCATTATTGTCAGTTGCCGTCGTTGCTAGGGTTTGGCCCGTTCCTGGACGAAGTTTAGAACCTCGGACTTAGACGCACACGCACAGAATGGAGGACGCCTGCAGCTCCAACGCGATGATTCTCCAGCAGTTGGCAGCCGCTTCATCGCACACGAAAAACGTGAACGCATGCGGAAATGTCTTTTTGGATCCCATCGCGTCGCAATCGAATCAAGCAGCCTTGGCAAATTACGCTCTTGCCGATCAGCTTCGCCGAGCTCAGCTAGCTGCCGCTGCCGCTGCAACCGGTCTAGCATCGTCTTCCGTTCCCGTGAACGCGTCCGCCGCGGCGCTTCTCGCGGCGCAGCAATCCATGTCGAGCCTGGCGATGGCGGCCGCGATGACTCCTGCCCAGCAGCAGTGGGAGCAGCAGCAGCGGCAGATGCTCTTGCTGCTGCTGCAGCAGCAACGACAGCAGAACGCGCAGCTGTACATGCATCGCATGGCGCTCCTCTCCTCCGCGTCCAACCACTGCAGGATGCAGCTGCTTCAGCAGAGCCAGCAGAACCAGAAAACCCACCAACACCAGCAGCTGCAGCTGCAGCAGCAGCAGCAAATCAACTCGATTGCTTCCATGATCGCCTCGCTCAAAACGTCCGTCGACAACGAAGCCGCACACTCCGATTCTCCGGTCTCGTCTCCCGCCGCATCTCACGGCAGCATCTCCATGCCGACCGCGGACCTTAATCTATCGTCCATGAACCTCGCTCCCGTCTCGTCCGTGTATGAGGACTCTTCTGATTCCGCCGCGTCGCCTACCTGGACGTCGCCTCGCGCGGTCCACGATTTCAGCGCGTCGTGGGGAGCAGAGCACGACGGCTACGACTACCACGCTGACCACGAAGAGGGTGCGGGTTTCGATTCCGCCGCCGTTCCCTCGCTGATTCCTCTGCCGTCAGAGGAGGAATTTGACTCTCATCTCGTCGCCGTGCAGTGTGCTTACGTCGACCAGTAATAACTTTCTCAGCAAGGCTGCTTAACTCGTCATTCAACGAGCCCGCTGAGAGCATTGCTGCCTCCCTGCTGAACGCTCCTGAGCAAAGCAGTCAGGGTTGTTGTAAACGTAGCGCCGTTACCGGGTTACCTTCTGTATGTATGATGGGCTTTTCGTGGCCGGCGAGAGCGCAAGCGGCTGATGAATAAGTGGCTTTTCCGCGCCACTTCTGGTGCTTCGTAGCCAGAATAAGAGGCGGCTAATGCGGCTGTCCCTCACTTCGGATAATAATGGGCATGGGTTCTTCGGAGCCCCTGAGGGCCTTTGAGCTGTAGTACGCTACAGCAGCGGGCATTTCTTGTGCTAAATTCCTGTACGTCTTAAACCTATTATTGTTGTTTTGTACTGTCCCGTATTCCTTTGTGTACTGCTGATGTAAGCTTTGTATTCTCCACTTAGCTGGTTGACATTTTCGTGACCAATATTCATTGCCCTTAAATTATCTACTGACCTGATGGCCTCTAATGCCGTCAGGAAGGACAGCTGGTGAATGTTGTGAAAGCAAGAAGATATGTAATATGTGATGCTAGGAGTAATTTTGTAGTTATTCTGCATAATCCAGAGAAATGTTCAAGCAGCATATAATCACCATTATGGCGAGCGCATGTACCGAGTTGCCTCGTCAACCCTAGCCCTTTGTTCGCTCGCTGCGCACCTGCCCTAGGACCAACATAACAACCTGCCTCAAACAAGACAGCCGAGGGAAGGACAGCCAAGGGCCAGTGGCCAAGCCACACCGAGAACATTTCCCAAGCCACCCTGGCGAACTTCGCCAAGACAAAATCAGGTCCCAACGCAGCGCCTCCATCCAAAACTCTCCACCACCCAATACTTTACTGACTCCTCCAATATCGCCACACTATTCCGCAAAAAGAATTCTGATGACCGCTTTCAGTTTTAAATAAGTGATTCAAAGTGCCGCGTTGGGGTCCCCCGAGCGAAACAAAACCCCTCTAGTGTGGTTCGTCGCTTGGCGGTCAGTGTGGAAATCCGCCCGATAGGGTGTACTGCTCTGTACCCCCTTCCACCTAATTGAGTAGGCCTTCAGTTTGAGAAGCCCATTTCGACCCATGCCCGTCAATACACCTGTCCTCCGGTATTTCCACACCCCCCACCCTCGTTTTTGCCAGACACCCTATACGGCTTGAGGGTCGACGAGACGGTCACCCTGACACTACGGATCTATCAGTAAAGAACCGCCAGGTTCTGGCCATTCGAAACTCAAATTTGTAATCAGAGTTATCGGGGAAGTTCCCAGTGCCATATGTTGGAGTGTTAAACTCGCATTGAAGTCGTGTCTTACTACCCTCGAAACTCCCGTGGTTGTTTCGAACTACCTTCGAAATCTTATCGTTCGAGGGTAGGTACCCCAGGGCGTGAAGATAGGGGGTGTGGAATTATCGCAGGATAGGTGTACCGCCAGAAACTAGGGCTGTGGTCTAGCGCTACGAACGACAGACGACTAACCTGTGCATGACCCGCATCGTTGGTTTGTTGGTCGCAGCGGTGCGAACGGGCCAGCAGCGTCGGCGCGGCCAACGTCGCATTCCCTCTCAGGCGCTTATTAGATAGCTAACCCTCACTCTCACGGTTTTCCGGCTTATACGAGACGCGCAATGCGCATCGTTAGAGGGCTTCCACATCGTTCTAATTCAATTGCGCCGATTAATCTCCTGGTCCGCGCTTTAGGTAATGCTCAGGACGAAAAAAGCTGTTGGGTTCTTCAAGAGAGGAAAACGCACCTGGAGGGGGGAATCGGCGTTACAAGGACGCTTCGCCTTCTGCCTTCGTGACAAAAGTTTCGCCCGTTTGTATCTTGTTCGCGATTGTTCGTCCGGTCGGGGTGTTGATTCTGGTCTTAGTCCGGGTCTCAAAAACAAGGAGCGGAGGAAAACCAATTAAAGCCAGAGGACTTTTGAGTCGGCTCAAGAGTCACCCAGGCTTTAAGAAGTACACGTATGAGCTGCTTTTGCCCTCCCGACGAAGAAAGCTTCGACGAAGCATCGCCCAGAGCGCCGCAACCATGCGGCGACAATTCTCCTGGGAATGGCGTTCACCAACAGCGCGAAGCCACGTCAGCTGGGGCCACGTCAGCTCCTGCTGAAGCAGGTGCAATAACGGCCATTCAGCCTGATGCGGCTGCAGTACCGTGTTTCCCTCCCGCTCCCCCTGCTGCTCCGTCCGCGGACTCTAGGTTGCGCGCAATAGAAGCCTTCCCTTTGCGGCGCAGCGCTCCTAAGCGGAACTTGGGTGCTGGGAAGCAACAGCAGCAGCAGCAGGCGCAGGGGCAGGCGCAGGGGCAGGCGCAAGGGCAGGGGCAGCAGCGTCAATGGCAGTCGTGGTTTCGAAGCCGTTCCCCGCAGCAGCAGCAGCGGGACGGCGGAAACGGCGGCGGCGGCGGCACCCGCGCGGAGGATGCGCAGGCGGAAGACGACGACGGGCGCGCGCGGGACGTGTGGGAGGCGGCGGAGGATAACACGCTGGGCGCGTGGGCGAACCCGGTCTCCGCCTCCCTCCGCTTCACCCGCGCGGCGCTTACGCGCAGCAGCAGCCGCGCGGCGGCGTCGATCCGCGACGCGCAGCACCTGCTGTGGCACAGCATCGGCGGGGGGAGCGGGCGCGAGGGGGCGAGGTCGAGCCGGCGGGACATGGGCGCAGCCGCGGACCACGCCGTGCGCCTTGCGCGGACGAGCGAGGAAGAGGAGAGGGAGTGGGAAGAGGAAGAAGAGCGGGAAGGGGAGGGGGAGAGGGGAGGGGAGGCGGAAGGAAAGGCGGCGGGGAATGGGGGGGGAGGAGTGGCGGATAGGGCCGGCGAGGGGCACGGGGTGGAAAAGGTTGAGAGCGGTTTAAGGGGAGTTGGGGACCCGGATGGTGATGGGGTGAAGGAGAGCGGTGCACTGGGTTCGGTGGTGGTTGAAGGAGGTGGTTCTAACGCAAAGGGGGCGGCACAGGCTCCAAGGGGCGCGGGAGAAGTGGGAAGAGGGGCGGCAGAGCATGCGGGAGACGCAGCAGGTGCTTCTGCAGCAGCGCAGAGGGAGATGATTCTAGGGGGAGGAGGTTCCAACGCAAAGGAGGGGTGTGACTGTGCTGAATGTGCTTCAATTGAAGGGCGTGACGCGGGCAGGGTGGGGGCTAGGGAGGCTGATTCCGGGGGTGACCGTGACAGTAACGGGCGGTGGCAGGTTGGGGAGAGTTCAAGCGCTGTTGCATGCACGGTCGAGAGCAGAGAGGGCAGCAGAGAAGGGTCGGGTGAATCCGTGTGTGCAACAGGCGTCTCTGCTGGTATACAAGACTGGCAGGATTCGCAAAGTCTGGAAACACGGGCAGCGGAGAACCAACAGCAGCAGCATCAGCAGCACGTAGAATCAGAACAGGATGTTGCTACTTCCTTGGATTTGGCGCCAGGTGATGCGGAGGCAGTAAGCAATCCTGGTTGTCCGGCTGTTGGTGCTACTGGGTTGAGCAGGGGCGGAGGCGAGGAGGAGCGGGGGAGTGGGATGGGTGCAGCAGCTGTTGCAGCAGCTACAGAACCAGCGGTAGCAGCAGCAACAACAACAGCAGCAGGTGGAAGTGTAGGGTTAAAGGCGGTGGAAGGGGAGGAGGTGGTGGAAGGGGAGAAGGGAGCAAGTACAGGGTTGGAGAATGAACGTTCGAGGAATGCGGGTTTGGGGAATGCAGGGTTGGAAGATGCAAATTCGGAAAACGCGGATTCACAGGTGAATGGTAGCTTGAATAGGGAGGCAGATGGAGGGGTGATTGCGGGGGGAATGGTAGATGAAACAGCACACAGGGAAGAGGTAACTTCAGAGGAAGAAAAAGAGGTAGCTGAAGGGAGGGAGGATGGGGGAAGAGATAGGGTTGGCGCAGGTGAGGTATCCCCTCTTAAAGCCACGGATGCTGATGGTGATGATAAAGCACTATTTAGCATCATACCAGACCAACAACAGCAGCAGCAGCAGCAGCAACCACAATCCCCTGACGCCATCCCGCATTCGAGAATGCATTCGGGAATGCATTCGGGGATGCAACCGGGTGTGCCGGCGCGGCTAATGCTGGGGTTGGAGCACTCGGGAGAGGTACTCATGTCCCACTCCCACAGGGGCGGGCGGGCGCGCAGCAGCAGGAGAATGCTCCCTGGTGGTGCAAATGGGGGGGTTCAGGCGCAGGAGGAGATCAGTGGGGCTTTTACGTCTGTGCTCTCGCTGATCGATTCTGAGGATGAGGACGAGGAGGAGGAGGAGGAGGATGAGAGAGGGGATGCTGGAGGGAAAGGTGGTAGCAACGGTGTCAGCACCGGGGGGATTAGGGGTCATGATGGGGAGGATGACTATAACGGTGGTAGGAATGGTGCTCACGTTGTAGGCAGTAATGGCACGGCCAGCAAGTCGCCTCAGAGCCAGTCCTCTGGTTCCGGTGCGGGGAGTAGAAGCCCGTTGGGGCTGCAACAGCACGCGGGTGGTAACAGGACGGATGCACGGAGAGGGGCTGCTGCTGTTCCCGCCATTGCTGCCGCCACCGCTGCTGCTGCTGCTGCTGCTGCGGGTGCTGCTGCGGGTGCGGGTGCGGGTGCCGGTAGAACTGGAGTAGGTGGAAGAAAAGGGGAAATGAAAGGGGGGCCTACGCAGGACCGAGCCTCAAACTACGCCAGGCTCGGCAAGGGGGCGGTTTCGATCCCAGCCAACTCGCTAGGCTTGGTAACCCCGTCTAGGCTCGTGCGGGTGCAGTCTTTGGAACAGAGGCTGATGCAGGAAACGGAAATGGCGGACGCTGCTGCCATGTATACTGCGGTTGTGGGCCCAGGAGGTTCGGCAGGAGGTTCGGCAGGAGGCTCGGCAGGAGGCTCGGCAGGAGGCTCGGCCGGGGGTTCGGCAGCCGGAGGGGAGTTAAGTCCTGCAAGCAGCCGTGCAGCAGCAGCAAGGCTCGGGGAATCGAGAGCAGGAACGGGTGGAGGTTCGGGTTGG